CGTCGTGCGAACGGACGCGGCTGGAGCCTGTTTTAAAGCCGGGCCGATGACGGCATTCATCTGGGGGGGGAGGGGGTCGATGACGTCACGTTTCGCGCCGGCGGCGTTTGGGAATGGTTAGGAATGACGGAGGACGGGTAGCATGAACATGTTGGTGGCGATATGCACCACAACGCCTGTTTACATCACAGTGCCCGCGTGCACCACAGCGCCTGTGTACACCACGCCGCCGATCTACACCACAGCAGCCGCGTGCAACACAGCGTCAGTTTGTGCCACAGCGCCTGCGGGCACAGCAGCTCCTGTGTACACCACGGCGCCTCCGTACACCACATCAGCCGTGCGCAACACAGCACCAGTGTACACCACAATGCCTGCGTGCATTGCAGTGCCTGTGTACGCCACGGCGCCTGTGTGCACCAAATCAGCCGTGTGCAACACAGCACCATTGTTGTGTATAGAATGTCAGAAGAAATCCTTGTGACAAAATGGAGCGCGTGTGAATTCCATCGAAAACGATGGAAAACAAATCCTCATGGACAAATGAGCGCCGCTGGAATCTACGAGTCCCCCCGACTCCGCCCGCATCACCCTAACTCCCATTTGCGTCCAGGAGGCTTCAGCTAAACTGGCCGTCCGAGAACCAAGTGGACCGATTCAAACGACCATCCTGCGGTGCACGCTGAGATGCGCACGTGCGTTGTAACGCCAAGCCGCACGACAGGGGGGAAAGAAGGAGGAACAGGGGGACGAGGAGGAGGAGGAGGAGGAGGAGGAGGTGGAGGTGGAGGTGGAGGAGGGGGGAGGAGGGAAACACGTCGCAGTCGATTATCAGAACTTTCCAGGCGTGGCGTTTATCCGCATCAGATCCTGACGTACGTGCTCCTTCTACCTGTCTTATGCACGCAGGCACTGTGGTGTACACCAGCGCTGCGTTGCACGCGGATGCTGTGGTGTAGACAGGCGCTGTGGCGTGCACAGGCGCTGCGGTGCACGCAAGCATTGTGGTGTACACAGGCGTTGTGTTGCACATGGCTGCTGCGGTGTATGTACACCGGCGCTGTAGTGCTCCCAAGTATTGTGGTATACACGGGCGGTGCGTTGCACACGGCTGTTGCGGTGTACGCAGGCGCTGTGGTGCACGCGCGCGGTGTGGTGCACGCGAACGTTGTGGTGTACACAGGCGCAATGGACAAGTCGCCACTTACATGCTGCTTGCGTCGTCGTCGTCGCTCGTCGCTCGTCGCTCGTCGCGTCGTGCGCGCGGGCGCGGCTGTGGTGCCGGAGCCACACGGTGGGGGGGGCGTCAGGTCATACCCCCCCTCGCCCTCCCCCCCCCCATGACGCCCGTCATCGCCGAACATAAAGCAACGCCCTCCTGGTGGCCACGCGCCTCAAATGTAGGTGCGTGCTGGGGCTGCGGATTGCGAGGATCAGGGGGCGAAGGGAGGTGGTACGATCTAGGTGCTCGCGCGCTACACTTGACATCCCACCCCTCATCCCTGCCCACTGCGTTGATTTTTCTCTACCCAGGAGCGGGTGCCACCCCATCGTGTTGTGGGCAATCTGCACGGGGGACTGTGCACTCTGGATGATGTGGCGAAAGGGCAGGAGGAAGTGATGGGCGAGGAGGAGGAGGAAGGAGGAAGGAGGAAGGAAGAGGACGAGGAGGACATGAAGTCGGAGGGGCGGGAGGAGCAGGAGAACTAGGGGAAGGCGGAGAAGAGGAAGTGGTGACAACGCCAAGGAACCACCTCGATCCAGAATATGTGGCCTGCGCTGGGGCGAGAGCGCCATTTTGATTGATTGGAGCACCGCGCTGATCCTGAAATGAGGCCAGCGCTGCAGCTCTCAAAGCCAGCGTGCGAGAAGCAATGCACGGAGAGGGCGGGACACTTCCAGAATGTAGTCGACGGAGAGAGTAGTATGTACGCATTCCTTGAGGGCAGGGCTCGAGCTAAACGGTGTTTTGGCGATGTCGTGGCCCGTTTTCGTTTTGGTCTCGTTTTGCAGCAAAGGTGGAATGACGACAGAGCGAGGGAACACGAAAACATATCGAAGACGAACAACAATGTTGAGCTCGAGCCCTGGCTCATCTTCCTCCTCCTCCTCCTGTCCTCTTCCTCCGTCATCCTCTCCCGCCCTATTATCCCCATCTCCTGCCGGCTACCCCCTCCTCCTCATCTTTCTCTCTTCTGCACGCAATTGCGGTCGTACCCTTCTTGCTCGTATGTTCATCCCCTTTCCCTTCTCCTCACCTCCTGGGTAGTCGCCGTCGTCGCCGTCGCCTCATATCCTTTCCCTTCCCTCCTCGTCGTACCTGTCGCTGCCATTCTTGATGGATGATCCGGAATGATGGATTATGGACGGAGGGAGGCTCACTCTTCTCTGGAGGGTGAGCAGCCCTCCTGGCGGCGAAAGGTGCATTATCTTTCCCTCCGATGTTTTGTCGTCTTCGGTCGGTCGTTCTCGTCGTCGTCGCCACGGCGATGCGCTACCCACCCTCCCCCATGTCGAATTGTTACTCCCCACTCTTCGCTCGTCGTCGTTTGTCGTCGTCGTCGTGGTGGGCTCACTCTCCCCTGGTGCACGGGCCCTCCAGCCTTGCCCCTCCTCTTCCACCGCCTCCTCCTCCTCCCCTGCAGCGTTCCGAGCTGCCCCGGTCGCCGCAGCCCCAGCCGCGCGACACCCGCGCGGCCGCGATGTCCGCCCTCCGCGTCCCCGCCGCCGCCGTGGCCGCGCCGCGGGGCGCGGGCGCCGCGGCCCAGGCGACGCGGGCGTGCGCCGCGCCGCGCGGGGCCGCCGCTGGGCGGCCCGCCGCAGCTCCGGCGCTGGTGGCTCCGGCGGCTCCGGCCCTCGCCGCCGCCTGGGCGGGGGCGGCCGCCTGGAGGCGGCGGAGGCGCCGGCGCGGGCACGGCGCCGCCGCGGCGGGCCGCGCTGCGCGGCCCGTGGGTGAGGAGGACGGACGGTGACGAGAAAGACGACGAGGATGACGACGAGGACAACGACGACGAGGACGACGAGGACGACGACGAGGACGACGACGAGGGCGACGACAACGACGACGACGACGACGAGGACGAGGACAACGACGAGGACGACGACGACGAGGACGACGACGACAACGAGAACGACGACGACGACGAGGACGACGACGACGACGACGACGAGGACGACGACGACGACAGCGAGAATGACGACGACGACGAGGACGACGACGACAAGGACGACGACGACAACCACGAGGACGACCAGGAGGAGGAGGACGACGACGACGATGACGACGATGACAACGATGACGACGATGACGACGAGGACGACGAGGACGACGAGGACAACGAGGACGACGACGCCGACGACGCCGACGACGAGGACGCCGCGCAGCCTGGTTGGGACCCCCTCCCCAGACATGATCGCGTCGTGAGGCAAACCACGGCGGATAAATGTTTGCTGCTTTCGGCATTGAGGGGCCATCGCGAAGCCTCGGCACGCAGGAAGAACGACTCGGGATGAGAAGCTGCGTTTTGCGCCCACTCACTCCGCCATACAGACTGAAGCGACTGGCGACCCCCGGAATCGATCGGCGTCTAGGTTCTGAACGCATGTCTGCGCAGAAATTACCAGGGCCGTCGAGGAGGTCCTGGGGAAGGGGCTGAGACTTTGGGGGTCGGCGGGGGCGGCAAACGGGGGGTGAAGAAAAAGTACACCTTCCGTCAACCGTTGTTGACCGTCAACCTTCGGAGCCCTGAAGGTGCCCACTGGAGCCCAAAACGTGCAGGAGAGCTGCACGTCCGCTTCACGCCGCCCCCACTCAGCCCAGGGGGAGGAGGAGGGCGGGCCGGCAGGGGAGGTCTGGGGTCATCTGCAACGCCTGGATCCCAGTGCTGCAGGACGACGACACTGAGTGGCGCCGACAGGGCGGAACTGGCCAAGGAAATCGGGGGCGTCGCCCCCCCCCCCCCCCCCCCCCCCCGTCACCCCTTCCTCGCAGACTGGGGCCCGAGTGCCCCAACGTGCCCAGGAGCAGAGGGTGTCCTCGTCGCGGGCCTATCGCCGATCTCTATCGGCGACGTGCCGCCGCCCCCCCCCCGCGTCGCTTCGGGCTCCCCCCCGGGCCCTTCCTTGGCCCCAAGGGCCGTCCAAGACTGGCCCAGGGTGAGAGGCTGGGCTCGGGGAAGGCCTTGGGGGGTCCAGGGCCCGTTTCCATCGGAACCCCGCCTCCTTCCAGTTGCCTCGGGTCACCGCCTCCTTCACGGCAACAACAAACAACAACCGCCACGCCGTCCGGGCACAACAAAGAACCATAGTCACAATTGGGCGTTTTTTTGGAGGGCCTTTCGGGGGAGAACCCACACCGACCTCGGCATGAACACTCCTCTTGTGGTTGTGGTCGAGTTGGTCGTCCTGGACGCCCACTTCTACCACAACCAGTACTGAGAAGATTTCGGTGCTCTGACGATTGTTGGCATGGGCAAGGCCTCCCCCAGCATGTGTCCTCGATGTGTTTGTCGTCGCTGGCTGTCTCACACGTCGAGAGCCAGCTGGCGGCTCCAGACCTCTTACCAGCCTGAAGATTACCCCTATCCCTACGATCCCTGTGCTTTGCATCGCATCATCTCGATGCCGATCTTGGGGGCCCCCCCTCAGCTCCCGAGGGCGCTGCCCACGCGATTGTCATCGCCCTGGGCTTGCACAGGAGCAGGGCCGATCGAGGCTGGCTTGGCATCGCTCGGACGTGTGCACTTCTCCTTCGGCGAGGACCCTCGAGGAGCATCCTTGATCATTTGGCAAAAAAAAACAAACAAACAAAAACACGCACAGGGAATGGACGTCCGAGCGATGGCCAGCTGGTCAATTGGCGGCCCCCGGCCTCCTCGCGGTGGCCCCCGCAGGAGGCGCCGCCACCCGACGAGGGGCGCCGGGCGCTCGCCGGCTCCCTGCTGGCCGCCGCGGCGCTGGGCGGCGCGGGCTGCGCGCGGGCCGCGGACGGCGTGGCGCTCATGCGGCAGGCGGGGCCCCGCCGGGAGCATCGCTCGGGGCAGCCCCGTGGGTCGGTGGGTCCCGGAAGCTCTCGAGCCTCGATCGATCTTCGATCCTCGATCCATCCTCGATCGATCCTCGGTCCTCGAGGGTCGAGCTCTCGGGTCAGCTACCCCTCGTCGAGAGCGGCCTGGGCGTGTGCCAGAATCGTCGCAGACGGCCGCCGGAGGCCCGGGAGTTGTGGCCCGGCTGCCAGGGGAGGCGTCTCGGGCAGTCTCGGGGCCGCCATCTCATCTCCAGGCAGGGGCAACGCTCGGGGGGGGAGATGGCTCAGGGACGACCCCTGTCTTCAGGGGCAGCGTCGGGCGTTGAGCTTCAAGGTTTGCGGGCGTTGTCGTTGGTTCTCGGCGGCTTCCCAGGCTCGCGAATGTTGCGCCTCGCCGAGAGCGTTCCCGGAGTGCCTGGATCTTCCAGAACAGCGAGAATGACCCGAAAACCAGGGTCAGGAGTCAGGGGGGGCAATGTCAGGGAGGGACCTGGGGATCGTCGATCCCAAGGAGAAGTTTGGAAAATACGGGAAGTGGGGGGAGAGAGAGGCTAAGGCGAACATCCAGAAAACATCGAAAGCTACGAGGAATCCTGGGGCGTGTGTTTTTGTTTGTATGTCCCTTGGGCCCTTCCATTCCCAAACATGTTGTTCAGTACCTTTGGGGCCCCGATGCCTCGCTGGAGGCTCCTTCGGGCATTTGAGGCGCCTCGGGGCCTCTTCGGGGAATCCTGAGAAGATCTAATAAGCCTGCTCGGGCGATTGGTGATGGGGGGTGTCGTCAATGGGGGCGCAGAAAATGACACGAAAGGGCCCGTTTAGGACCCTTTCTTCACCCCCTTATCTAGGCCACCCCCCATAACCATCCGCCCGATCTTAGGAACTTTGGTGGGCAGTCTTTGAACGAACTTGATGTGGGCGTTTCGTAGCCGTTTTGGGGCAGCCCCGGCCTCATCCTTGGACTTCTTAGAGCCTTCTGGAGGCAGAACAGGGCATCGGGGAGCAGAACCAGGGAAGGCGCGACAGAAGCCTCACCAGACAACAGAGGAGCATGACGGAAAGAGTGAAGTACGATTGTGGCGTTCTTGGTGGGGCGAAATCTTCAAGAGAGGGGTGCCAGGGGAGGGGCGAAGCGCGCTTGGGCGGGCGTAACAACCCCCCCCCTCCCCACTCCCACTCAAGACGGCCCAAGAGGCCCACAAGACGGCCCTGGTGGTGCCCAAGACGGCCCAGGAAAGATCCAAGACGGCTCCGAGATTGCCGAGGACTGCTCCAAGACAAGATGACTTCCGATGGCCTCAAGATGGTCCAAGAGGCCCTCGAGAGGATCTTCCAGAGGGCCTCAGGAGGCCAACAACGTTGATTTTCCGTAGGTGTTTGAAGGTTTGTAGGGTTCTCACCTTTTTTGGGCTTCGGACAGCCCAGGAGGCCCAAAATACGGCCCAAGAGGCTCCCAAGAAGGTCCCAAGACAGCCCCAGAGAGCCCCAAGACGGCCCAAGAGGGCTCCGAGAGGGGCCCAGATGCCCCCCAAGAGCCCCGAGAGGGCCCCAGGAGAGAACCCAAGACGGCCAAGGCCCCTCAAACGCCCCAAGACGGCCTCAACAGCTCAAACCGGCCTTGAGAGGACGCAATATGGCCCAGAGAGGACAAACTCCCAGTGACGGACACAGCTTTGACGCCCAGGTCCCTAAGAGCTCCAGCTGGCGGCAAGCACATGTGTAGGCGAGTCGGTGGCGTAAGTAGCTTTGAACGCCAAGGCTCTCAAGAGCTCCCGATGACGTGAAAAGCACTGAACGTCTAGGCGCCCAGTGCGAACGAAGACGTAAATAGCTCTGAACGCCAAGGCTCCCCGTACGAAGGGCGGTGTGAACCCTCACGGGCCACTTCGTTAGGAATTCGTTCCGTTTCCGTGCCAGCCGAGGTGACTACGGAAAGAGCGAGGCACGAGTAATGATGTTCTCATGGGGCGAAGCTCTCGAAGGAGGGGGTCCAGAGGAGCCCGAATTGGTCTAACTTTGTAAATGGAAGATATTGCATTAAAAGAGGGTCCTTAGAGGGATCTAGACACGGGTTAGCAGGGATTTGCCTTGCAAAGTGACCCTGTGAGGGATGTGGACATGCGTTTGCAGGGAATGTCTGCAAGTCGATTCTTAGAGGAATGTGGACACCGGGTTGCAGGGAATGTCCTTGTAGAGCGGTTTTCAAAGCTAAGTAGATACTTGTTTACACTGAATTTCCTTGCAAAACGAGCGTCATAATCCCACGATCCGTGAACAGTTTGGAGCACGCCCTATGACGACCGTTCTCCTCACATACCTACTTGCTTATCTGCCAAAGTACCTACGAACATGCATACATTTGCGAGCGTACATGTAGATTTGCGCATCCGTGCGTCTTCTTCATACGCAGCAGACAAACATATACATGCACATATACACATACACAGCTACAGAGATACACACATACACATACATCCATGCATTTATCCATCCGTACGTGCATACTTACACACATACACACGTGCATACACCCATACAGACAGACAGACAGAAAGACAGACAGACAGGCAGGCAGACAGACAGACAGACAGACGGACAGGCACACCAATACATACACATGCATACCTGCAACCATACATACATACACACTTACATACACACACGTACATACATACATACATACAGTCATCCATGCATTCATACATACATACATTCATTCATTCATTCACACCTCCACACATCCACACATATATATATATAATATATACGAACATGTGTCCCAAGACATGTACGTCTACATACATGCATACATACATACGTACACACAGGCATACACACATACGTACATACGTACATAAGTACGCACATGCATACACGCATACCTACTGGCATACATACATACATGCTTCAATACATGCATCAATACATACATACACCCTTACATGCACACATACACACATACACACATGCAAACACACATATACATGCATACATACATACATTCCCCAATCAGAGCTTGCCTCATTAGGGGTTCTTGCGGATTCATCTGGTCAGGTGAGATTTGGCGCCGATTTTGGCGGCACGCCCGGGTGCCTTGGTGCCCGGGTGCCCTGGTGCTCGGGTGCCCGGTAGACTTGCAGCCCGATGCCCCTATAGCCCTGATAGCCCTGATAGCCCTATAGCGCTAATAGCCCTAAGAGCCCTATAGCCCTATAGCCCTAATAGCCCTATAGCGCTAATAGCCCGATAGCTCTTACAGCCCTACAGCCCTATAGCCCCATAGCCTGATAGCCCTATAGCCCTAATAGTCCTATAGCCTCATGGCCCTCATGGCCCTATAGCCCTATAGCCCTATAGCTTCATAACCTTGTAGCACTGTAGCCCCGTAGCCTGATAGCCCTACAGTCCTATAGCCCTATATATTACCCTAAACATATTATGACTTTTTTTTCTGTGGTCTCATGCATGTTTACATACATGCATACATGCATGCATACATCCAGACATACACGCACATACAGACCTGCGTACACACATATACATCTACATACATACATGTATGCATACATACATACACATTTACGCATACACATGCGCATCCATTTATATATATATATATACACACGAGCACACGTGCACACATACATACATACATGTATACATGCATACACGCATACATGCATACATGCATACACTGTCATACCATGTAACTCACGTTCTTCCACGCAGCCACACAGCAAGCGAGACATGTACGTTCCTATCTACATCTATATCTAGATATCTATATATTGTTTTTTTTGTTCGCACATGCAAATGCACGTAAACCTAGATATGTGCGGTGTGCGTTCCATGTGTGGCGTCCACGCACGTGGTGGCGTGCGTTCAGCGGCTCCACGTGATTGTCTTGGTTGAGTGGTTGCTAGTAGTTGCGTGCGGTGCCTGCGACATGTCGTTCATGCCTGCAGCCGTCTTGGTTGAATGGTTGCCTGTCGTTGCCCGCCGTGCGTTTGATGGGTGGCGTCCGCGTCGTTGCGTGCGTTCCACTTTCGTAGTTGTCTTGGTCGATCGGTCGCCTGTCGTTGCTTGCGGTGCCTGCAACACGTCGTGCGCGCCCAAGAGGTCCACAGAACAGCCCAACAGACAATGACGGACGCTTTTTTGGCGCCAAGGATCCCAAGAGTAACCGGTGACTTGCAAGTCTTTTGCAAACGAGTCGGTGACGCAAGCATTTTGGACCGCCAAGGGTCCCAAGAGCAAGCAGTGGTCCAACAATGTCTGAACGCCCAGGCTCCCAATAGCGAGCCGTGACGTAAACATTTCTTCACCCCGAAGCTCCCAAGAGCGAATGGTTACGTAAACGGCTTTTAACATTCCAAGGCTCCCAACAATGAGCGGTGACGTAGGCAACTCTGCACACCAAGGATCCCAGGAGCGAGCGGTGACTTAACACGCTCGTAACGCCTGAGGCCCCAAGAGCGAACGATGACGTGAAACAGCTCTTCACACCAAGGCCTCCAAAAGCGAACGGTGACGTGAAGAGAGCGCTTCACGCCAATGCCCCCCAGATCGAACGGTGCTATGAGCCCTGCTCGGGCGAGTTCTTGGAGCGTTCTTTCCGTTCCCGTGCTTGACCAGGTGCCAGAAACGTTTTCGTAGGGTAAAGCTCTCTAGGGAGGGGGTCGAGGCAAGCCAGGTGCGCTCGCGTCATGTCTGACGTCCTACCCCTCCCTCCCATCCCTGACCACGGCGTAGATCTTCTCTCCATTCGTACAATCGGATGTTGTCGCATGGCATAGCATTACATGGCATAGCATGGTGTTGAATATTAATGCGTAGCATCACGTAGCATGGCGTGCCCTGGCGACGCCCCAAAGTGGGGGTCTTCCGCGGCCCAAAAAATCAACGGCTCGACACCGAATGTGTAATCACTTCCGATGCTTTTTGTTCGGGGGGGGGGCTTTTCTCAATTTTGGATCTTATATGGAGAACCGAAAACCATGCCGTGGCATGGCAATGAAAATAATGACTCCAGCGCTGCAGCGGGAGCACAATTCGGAACGAGCGGAAGCGCGGAAATGAGGCCAGCAGTGCAGCGGGAACACGATTCGGAACGAGCGGTAGCCCGAAAATGAGCCCAGCGCTTCAGCGAGAGCAGCATTTTGAACAAACACAAGCGCGGCATCGCGGAAATGAGGACGCGTAGCTTGACATAGCATGGCGTGGCTAGGCGACGCCCCAAAGTGGGGGGGGGCTTCGGCGGCCCAAGAAATCAACGAATCGACACTGAAAGTGTAATCACTTCCGATGTTTTTTTCGGGAGGGGGGGCTTTTTCTTAATTTTGGAGCTTATTTGAAAGGATCGTAAGACGTGCCGTGGCTGGCGCTGGAAATAATGGCGTCAGCGCTACAGCGGGAGCACGATTCGGAACGAGCGGTAGCCCGAAAATGAGGCCAGCGCTTCAGCGAGAGCAGCATTTTCGGGCCAAGACTTGCCCAAGACGGCCCAAGCCACAATGATTGCTCCGAGACGGCCCTAGAGGCCCCACAAAGGGGCCCCAAGACGGTCCAAGAGGGCCCCAAGACGGCCCAAGAGGACGTCAAGACGGCCCATGGAGGGCCCCAAGACGGCCCATGGAGGGCCCCAAGAAGGCCCAGAAGGGCTCAAGGAGAGCCCCGAGAGGGCCTCAAGAGGCCCCCACGAGATCCCCCAGATGGCCAAAGAGCTTCAAGATGACCCCAAAGGGCCCCAGGACGCAGAGGGCCCAAAGACGGCCCAAGAGAGCTCCAAAAGGGCCCCCCACGAAGGCCAGGAGACGCCACATTCAATGATTTCCGCAAGTCTCTTGCTGGATGCTTGTTTCATCACCTAACGAGCTCTAAACACCAAGGCTCCGAAGGATGCACGGTGATGTGAGCCCTCGGGCCTCGCGACGGTATAGTGATGGACACAGCTTTGACGCCCTGCAGACGGCCCAGTGACGGACACAGTTTTGACGCCAAGTCTCCCAAGAGCTCCAGGTGGCGGAAAACAGATGTTTCGGCGAGTCGGTGGCGTAAACATGTTTAAACTCCAAGATTCCAAAGAGCTCCCGGGGAGGTGAGAAGCTCTGAACGCTAAGGCTCCCGGAACGAACAGTGACATTGAAAGTTTTTACCAGTTAGGCTCCCAAGAGCTCACAGTGGCGTGAGAAGCTCTTAACACCAAGGCACTCAAGAGTGAATGGTGCCATGAGCCTTATCGGGCCCAATGCTGTGGTGATGACGACGACGTTGACGGCGACGATGATGATGATGATGATGATGATGATGATGATGATGGTGATGGTGGTGATGGTGATGGTGATGGTGATGGTGATGGTGATGGTGATGGTGATGTTGTTGATGGGTATGTTTGTGATATTGATTATGATGATGATCATCATCATAATGATGTTGATATTGATGCTGATGCTGATGCGAACGATGATGATGCTGCTGCTGATGATGCTGATGGTGACAGTGGTGATGATGACGACGACGATATTGTTGATGCCGATGATGATGATGATAATGATGATGGTGATGATGGTGATGAGGACGACGATGAAGACGAGGACGGTGATGCCGATGATGATGGTTATGATGATTATGCTGATGTTGATCATCATCATCATGCTGATCATGATGATGACGATGATTTTGATGAGGATGATAATGACCATCATCACCATCATCATCATCACCAGCAGCATCATCATCCACATCAGCATCATCAGTTCCATCATCATTATCATCATCGACATCAGCATCATCACCATCACCATCACCATCATCATCATCATCATCATCATGATCATCATCATCATCATCATCAACATCGCCGTTGTATATCTCGTCAGATTGCAGGAGGTAGGCGAAGTGTAGAAGGCAGCCCTCGGGTGGTAGGGACTGGGCTGCCCGGTCGTCGGGACTCGCTTGCCCTCCGCCATGGGTGTGGGGATTGGGCTGCCCCGCAGGATGAACGTGGGAACTGGCACGCTTCCCTCGGGCATCCTCGAACTATCTGAGGATCACGTGACAAGTTCTGGACACCAAGGCTCCCAAGAGCAAGCGGTGAGGGAAAAAGCTCTGAGAACCAAGAATGCAGCTGTGTTGAACCCTAGTGTTATGCGAATCCGAGTCCTCACCTGCGCCATCTTCGTACCCCACTTGGGGTTGCTGCCGAGACCAGGGCATGTCGGCCTTCATTGAGGGCCGCGTCGCAGAGTCCATCGATTTGTTCGACGCCTCTTCCAAGGCCGGGTATCCCCAGGACGCGCTCCTCTTCTTGCTCTTCATCCACGTGCCATCCTGCTCGTCCTCATCTCTTCCCTGCTCCCTCCTCCTTGATCCTGCCTCCTCCCTCAGACCTCCCCCCTGCTTCTCAGAGGACGCGCTCTGGCAGAGGGGGCTCTCCCTATACTACGTGGACCGCTTCCAGGAGGGCGCTGGCCAGTTCCGGAGGAGGGGAGCGGAGGAGGGGGTCAGACAGGCGGTGGGGGAGCGGGGAGGAGCAGTAGGGGACGAAGGAGCGGGTGGAGTAGGACGACTGAGCGGCGCGCTTCTAGGAGGGGGCCAAGCAGTTCCGCGACGACGTGGCAAAGAACCCGAACGATACCGAGGAGTCCATTCGGGCTTCGTGACCCCGTCTCTCTTCTCCGGCCCCCTCCGCGTTCTTCCCCGTTTGCCATCGTGGCCATGTTCCTCGCTCTTGCCTCACTCCTCCCTCTCATCTGCCCTTTTTCCCCCTCCCGCGCTCTTGCATCGTCACTCTCCCTCCCTCCCTCCATTCCTCGCTCGCTTCTTCCTCGTCGTCCTCGCCCTCTCTCCCCTCCTCCTCCTCCTCCTCCTCCTCCTCCTCCTCCTCCTCCTCTTCCTCCTCCTCTCCCCAGAGCGACACTGAGGAGTCCATATGGGCCATGCTTTGCGAAGCGCGCATCGTGGGATTCGAGCAGGCCCGGAAGCAGATGCTGACCGTGGGCTACGACCGGCGGAGCGTGATGCGGAGGGTGTACAAGCTGTACCGCGGGGAGGACGAGGCGGAGAGCTTGGCCTTCCTGCAGAAGGAGCCAGCGCGGCAGCAAAGATGCAGGGATGGCCACGTGGTGTGATATGCCCTGGACAGGGGGAGGCAGGGAGGGAGGACGAGGATGAGGATGAGGATGACGAGGGGTAGGCGGGGGGGAATAGGAGCAGGACGGGCAAAGGAGGGGGGAGAGGAGAAGGGGGGAGGATGATGAGGAGGAGGAGGAGGCGGAAGAGTCCTGTCCTTGTCGTCTTGGGAGCTCTCTAGGAGGCCGAGTCGCCCAATTTCTTGAACGGCGGCAGCGACCAGTTCTATGCGGCGCTGCCCTTCCTCCTCCCCGTCATGCTGCCTCGCTCCTCGTGCTCGCTCCTCCTCCTCCTCCTGGTCTGCCTCCACCTTCTCCGTCCCCCTTCTCCTCCTCCTCTTCTTTTTCCTCTCGAAGTCAGATTTTGGCCTGGTCGATGCCGAGCTCTCTGCGCGAAAGGCGCAGAGGAGGTCACGACCGACTGTGGCAGCGTCTCCGACGCGGAGGCCGAGGGGGGCTAGACATACCGCGAACTTTGCTTCGGGCCGATGTCCTACCTCCCTACCCTTGGCATCGCCCCGACGCGTGCATATGTTTTGTCCCGGCGAGGACCTTCGAGGAGCATCCTCGACCATCGGGCCAACAAAAACACGCACGAAACCGAAACATGCACAGGGAATGGGCGTCCGAGCGACGGCGAGCACCTCCTCCCAGGGTATGAGGAGGGGTGCCATGCCCGACGGTGCTCGCAGTGCCTGCGAAGACCTCCCCCTCCCAGAAGGGCGGCCCAGATCCAGCATCGAGCGGGCGGTCGCTCGCGGCTTTTCCTGATAGTGGTTCTCGTCGTCCATGCCCCCCTTTGTAGTGGGTCTCGCCTGGCACAGCTACAGTCGGCCCAGACTAGTAAGATTGGTAGGTCGGCCCTCCCAAATCGAGAGTACCCTCGTGTCCTGTATCTCGCGACCCATGCCTCCTACATTATTATGGCAATGTGGCCCTTGGAGGGGTCTTGTGTCCTCTCGCGCGTCCTGTCCAATGAAGGCCGACTGTAACCGCCGCGCCCCTCTTCCTCGTCTTCCTTCCGCCTGCTTGTGCTCACGTGCTACCGACTCCTATTCCCGCGGTGTCTGCGTACCCGTAGACTTGTTCGCTCCCGCTGCGTTTCTTTTGCCATTCTGGGGCCATTCTGGAGCTCTCACGGCGGTCTCTTGGGCCGTCTCGGGGCCGCTATGCTATGTAGGCATATTTGATTGGAGCTGACTTCTTTTGGTTGGGCACAGAACGCGTATGAGATGGCCTCCAATCCACCCGCCTACCCAGTAGATAGCAGACCGCCCGCCGCCCCAACATTGCAGCAGCTCCTGTTGCTTAGCACAGAAGTATGCTGTTCGTAGTGCGCGGACAGCGTTCTTACAGCGTGCGCAGGCATACGCAAGTGGTACGTTGAGGCACGTGGCGCGCGACCAGGCTGTTGCGGCACCCACACAGGCGCGGCCTCGCATTCGGCAGTGAAAGGCATCCCGGTGTGCATAGCGCACACGCCGGCTGCTGCGGCAGCTGTGGTGCATACAGGCGTGGTGGTGTCCAGCATTTCGGAATGCACAGAGACTGTTGTGTGCGCTTGTGACGGGGGAGCGCCGTGCACGGTGCCAGACCAGGTTGATACGTTCGGGCCGACCACCGTTTGCTGGAGTTGACACCGTCGGGACCCTGTAGGAGTACACAGGCTTTGTGGTAGCATGTGGTTATTGTGATGCACATGCTCGCTGCGTACACAGGCAGAGCAACATACATATTGGAGTTGATAGGTTTAGGCCCTCCGCGATCTTCCAGAGTTTGACTCCGTCGAGGCCCTGTGGGTGGACACAGCTGTCACCCCTTCTGGGGCGCCGCCACCGTCGTCCTTGTCAGTTGTCGTTGTCGTCGTGGTCTTGCCGTCGCCGTCTTCATCTGGCTTCATGCCAGAGTGGCCCGTGGGGACAGCTGACGTCATTCTTCCAGAGAGCCTTCCAGAAACATCATCTTTGCTGTGTTCCTGTTCCCGCACAGATGCGCGGAAACGATGCACCACGTGGCCCGGGCGCGTCGTTCCCGAGGTTCCGCCAGGGGCTTCAGGGGACATTTGTAATCGTGCTCCCAGAGAGGTTTCCCCGGACATGATCCCGTTTGTGCCATTGCTTCCGCATGCGTGTAGCGTTCAATACTGCAAGGCGAAACTAGTACGACCCTCTGTTGCACTAGTCTCTTTGGAGGGCAAGAGCCCTTCAGTGCAAGCACAGGTTCGGGGCTCATTGTGGTGGCTCTGGAGCTCCCGACCCCGTCGTAGTCCTCAGGGATTTCCAGAGCTACCGAGAGCAACGCTGACGACGAGGAAGGTGAGCAGGAGGAGGAGGAGGAGGAGGAGGAGGGGGAGGAGAATGAGGGTGAGTAGGGGGAGAAAAACGACGTCGACGATGACGACGGATAATTTGGAGGAGAACGGTGGAGGTGGAGGGGGAGGAGGAGGAACACGACGACCAGGGCTGCCAGGCGCTCGGAGGTTCTTGGAGGCTCTCGGAGGCCCTCGGTGGCATGTGTCGTGTGGTCATGGAGCGGCTCGGCTTGGTGAGCACGTCCGCGCCTCTGGCGCAACAAGCGACCACAACCACAACCACGTGGATTGTACCCACGGGCTCCTCGGGCCCAGATTTCACCGACCTCGACATGGGCACTTTGGATGTGGTCGTGATCGATTTGGCCGTCCTGGGACGTCACGTCTGCCACAGCCAGTACGAAGCTGGTTTGGGGGCTTCTGACGACTGTTGGCATGCACGAGACATCCCCTGGCGCGTTCTCGACGTGGTTGTGGTCGTTTGCTGCCCCCGCAACGTTGGGCCGCAACCCCGTCCGAATATCATAGAAACACCGGGCTGTTTCAGGGCCAGTTTGGATTTCGTGTCGAGGCTTAGGCTCAAGTTGGGCCCAGACTCGTCCAAATTTGGTTCCTGAGCGCGCCCGAAAACGTAGTCGACATTTGAATGGGGAAAAGTTCCACGTGAGCTCGAGAGTCAGCTCTCTGAAAGAGGCGTATTGGCGAGCCCTGAAAAGCCCACAAACATGACAGCATTTACCGGGGTTGTCTCTGAGGACCCTGGGGGGTAATTCTGTGGACGCCAGGAAGAGGCGCGAGGGGCCGACGTGGGCTAAATCTTTATCCCGGGAGCGCATTGTGAACGGTCTGACATCCAAGCGAGTCTTGGACGCTGTCTGGAAGCCGTCTTGGGGCTCGAAAAGGGTCGAGGCCGCAGCCCGGCGGAATGGCGGAGGCCTTTGGGAGGGATTAGGGGCTAAGAAATTGTGAGGGGGTTCCGCAGCTGAGCGCCACGCGCCCATCAGCCCGCCGGGCCTCTTTCTGGTACGTCGCTTCCGTTGCCCGTCGAAGTCTGCGTTTTATTTGCCTGCGACTTGCCGCTGGATGCGGCGCTGGGCCCGATTGTGCCCATAAAAGGCTCACGCCATTCCGCCGACCCCCATAGCAGTGGTTTCTGCAAGAGTCGCGCTAACGTGTCTGGCCTGTGGGTCAGGGGCCTCGGGATTGTATTTGAGGGTCTCCTTGAATGCCTCTTGGAGGGCTCCTGGGGGCATCTGCTGGTTGGCTTGTGGGGGCCCCTCGGGGGGCTCTTGGGGCCATCGCTCTGGAGGTTGGCAAGGAGAAGTGTGGTGCAAAAGGGGTGCGGTGCCAAAGCTGAAAATTACGATGCTATCTACGATGGCCTCAATTGCGTTGCATCCCAGTTGCGTTGGCTTTGCGCCGGCCGGCTCAAGCAGCGTCAGAGTATTCGGTTCCGACTCCCCAAACGATCGCAGTATTATGTGGGCGGCAGCACGAGCACCTGGTCCAGGACGTCCCATCACCAAGCTTGTATGTTTCTGATATTCCAAGTTTCGGAAAGTGTGATTCTGGAATTTCCGTATCGCCCGAAATTTAGTTCTGGCAAATCCAGAGTTTAGATGTAGTAAGTATTGTTTCAATTCGAGCCACAATTCCGGAAACTCCGAAATTTACCTCCGGAAGATTCGGGATCGCTTAAACTATCCTCGTAAATTTATGATGCTTTGGAACCGCATATGGCGTCATGGATTGGGGCTTTTCGTCGCCGTGACGATTGGACGGCGGACGTTTGGGGAGTTGGAAATCGTGTACTGACATTGTTTGAAGCGGTCGACGCAAAACCAACGTTGTTGAAGTCGGGATGCAATGCGTGTTCGGCTACCGTAGATAACCTCGCCAATTTCAGCATCGGCACCACACTTTTTTATACAAGACCCCTTTATCACGACGGGAGAGACACGAGGTGGGCCCTTTCCTTGGGGCCCGACGTCTTTGTGGTCTGTGCATGCGAATGATAATTTCCTCCCGGCGGCATGCGAACGCGTCGGAAGACGCCAACTATGCACCTTCGCCGATCCTGGCCAGGCCAGGCCAGTCCTGGGCCCATGAACGGCGCAAATGCCTTCCTGGCCAAGCCAGGAGAGCGTATGCCCCGATAGGGTGTCCATTGGAAGTTCCATGGGGTGCCCGTAGGGCCCCCGGCAGACTTCCAATTGGGTCCTCGTTCAGTTCGAGCGGTCGGTCGCGGTTGTGTCATGTCATGTGCCAGCGAACCCGCCCACCCACCCAACCACCTAATGCGTGTTATGCGTTCCCAAAGCAAATTCAAGCTCCTGTCTTGAGCTGCCAGGGCCTCGACAAAGCGAGAACGCCAACATATTGCTGAACAAACTTCGAATCTGATCGATGACTTGGGCATCTCGAGGCCGTCTTGGGCTCAGGATTTTCTGTTTAGCCCGACCCCTCCTCCTGGTGGCTTCTCTGGACGGTGGAGGAGCAGCGAGACTGGAGAAGCAAGAGACAACAGTTCAAAGCAACGCACAGAGCCCAGTACGACTGTCCGAAGCATGTGGTGGCTAGCTTGTTTGGCTCTGTCTCTTTCCAGCGGGAGGTCGCTGCAGTGATGCAGGAATTTGGACGCACTCTTGACGAGCGGACTTGAGACACGAGGATGGCAGTGCCAATGAATTTCGTTGGGAACACATTCTTTGAAGTTCCTGTGGGTCGTCTGGCGACGTCTTACAACGTCGGCACCCCGGCGGGCACGGATACTGGATGGCAAACGCATTTGCAGATCGATTCTCTTGTGTGCGAACAGAGTTTGCTCCACAACGTCAGCAGGCGTCGGTGTTGCTAGACGTTGGCAAAGGCGCCAGAGAACCCGCGCGCCGTCGAGACCGCAACCTTCTTTCGCAGCCGTGGGCAATTCGCTGTCTAGCCATGCACATGTCAGACTCTCTGGAAGCATTCGAAGACGAGGCGCCAGACCACGGCGATGTGAACTTGGCATGGTGCCGTTTGGCTGACAGTTTCAAGCACGTTGAGGAATGTTCCCTAGCGCTAGAGACCCAGAGAAGACGAAAGCCTTGGATTAGCAATGACACCTTCGAGCTGATCAGCACTCGATCGCATGCCTGACTCGCTGGCGACGTCGCGCGCGAGAAAGGGGCGGCGAAACGCATCAGAGCGTCGGTCGCAAGAGACAGGGTTGGATGGCTGGAAGAGCTAACGCAGAACGGAGAATGGGCGCAGTTCCGCAAATTACGACGGGGGTTCTGCCCTGCGCAGTGTCGACTCCGCGACGGCGCCGGCGATTTGGTCGGCAGCGGCAACCGGCCCGACACGCTGGCAAAGCATTTGGAAGTTGTCCAGTGGGCTGTCCGGCCAACCACAGCATTGCCCGACTCATCTGCGTTCAGCGAGGAGCTGCTGGTGAATTTGAGTGCCATCGCGGAGGGCGAAGTGTCTCGTGCTGCAAGGAAGTTGAAGAACGGCCGCGCCGGCGGTCTCGACGATCTGCCGCCCGAGCTCTGGAAAGCCGATGTAGAGGACGGGGCACCTGCGCGCTTGGATCACCAGATTTTGAAATTTGGCGTGGGCGCACGTGCGACAACTACAGTCCGATGCGCTTACTTCCCACCGGGTACAATATTTATTTTCGCGACGGTCCGACTGCAGAGGTTGAAGGATGCGAGGGCCGAAGACCGCATCTGGCCAACTCAATTCGGCTTCCTCTCCAAGAGAGGCATCCCTGATGCAATCTTCGTGGCCAGGCGAGTTTTAGAGGACGCCTGGGCAACGAAGAGCGGCAGCACGTTGCTTTTGGCGTTAGACTGGCATCCTCGCTCAAGGGATTCGGGCTTCCAGACCGATTTGTTGAGATGGTCGAGTCAATTTGCAGTCTCCGGACTTTCGCAGTGTTCGATATCGGCGCACCGTTCGCTGACCGAGACCGCATTTTCGGCATTTGCCAAGGGCGTTTCTTGTCCCCACGATTCTTCGCCATTGTCATGACAACCGCGATGGCAGACGGGCGCAAGGAGCTCCGACGTCGGCTCCCGCACCTCTCCGATGCGCACTTCCTCCGGGGACTGATCTACCCCGGACGACGCGCTCCTCCTCGACGCCGGTCCAGTCGCAGTGGGCGAGCTGATGGCGCGCGTCGAGAACTGCGGCAAGCACTGCGGATTGAGCCTGGGATGGAGGAAAGTGGCGTTGATGAGGGCTCGCTCTAACGCCCACCTGCAGAACGGCGCCGGAGACCCAGCGCCGGAGAAGGGAACCTTGACTGATCTCGGCGCCAAGCTCGCGTCGGACGGACGATGCGGATCAGAGCTGAACAGGAAAAGCGGCTTGGCAAAACAAGAGTTCAAATCATTGGAATCGGCGTGGTCGCATTCTTCATGGAGCAGACATGGAGAAACAAAGTTTAACGCGCGCGTCGTTTCAAAGCTTGTGCGCTGCCAATTTGCAGTTCGCCCGAATCAGGCAGGACGTGGAAACCATTGCCTCCAGGCACGCTGTTTGAAACCCATTTTCCGGATCCCATCTGGTTATCCGCAAGGGCTTCCTTCGTCCCCATGCCGCCAGCCACCCTCTCTCATAGTGGGAGTTGCCAGAGCTGCGCCGGGATGTCTAGACACTGACGCGAAGCAATGTCGGGACCTCGCAAACTGCGAAATATTCAACAATTACGAACATTGCGTGATTATTCCAGGGTGCACGGTTTCGGGGGCGCGACTGTGGTGCACTTTACGAGGTGCATGGCTTCGGGGGCGCGAATATCGCGTAATGTACAAAAGGCGTATGGCCGTGAGGACGCAACTATTTCATATTCTACGAGGTTGCATGGCTTCGGGGACGCGAATGATTTGTAGTTTACAACGGTTTGTGGCATCGTGGGCGCGAATATTGTGTAATGCGCAAGGGGTTATGGCCTCGGGGACGCGAGTACTGTGTAATTTGCGAAAGGTCATGGCGTCGGGGGCGCAAGCGTCGGGTAATTTACAAAGGGGCTATGGCTTCGGGGACGCAACTATCGCGTAATTTAAGAGGGGTGCGGGCTCTGGGGGCGGGAGCGCTCCGTAATCAACAAAAAGGTTTATCGCCATGGGGGCGCGATTATGGCGAAAATTAGTAAGCATTATGGCTTCGGGGACGCGAATATTACCTAACAGCTCTTGCTGATAGGTTTCTAGTGGACTCAAAAGAGAGCAGCAGATGACTCCACAGGGGGGTCTGGGCGGAACCCGGGGAGGCTGCCGCCGAAGCCCAAATCGCTTGGGACATCCTCGCAAAATCGCTCTTGGCGCTGCTAGAACTTTTTGGACGCCCGGAACCAACTGTAGGCCACTTCGTGGTCTTCGACTTCCCAGAACTCCATTCCCGGGCCACATCATGGATGCCTGGAGCCAACTGTAGGCCACTTCGTGCTCTTCGATTTCCCAGAACTCCATTCCCGGGCCACATTTTGGGTGCCCGGAGCCAACTGTAGGCCACTTCGTGCTCTTCAAGTTCCCAGAACTCTTATTCCTGGGCATGATTTTGAATGCCCGGAGCCAACCGTAGGCCACTTCGTGTTTTTCTAGTTCCCAGAATTTCATTCCTGGGCCACATTTTGAATGCTGAGGCAGGCTGATGCTGCGGCCGAGGCAGGCTGAGGCTGAGGCAGGCTGAGGCTGAAGCCGAGGCTGAAGGCAGACTGAGGCTGAGGCTGAAGCAGACTGAGGCTGAGGCTGAGGCAGGCTGAGGCTGAAGCAGGCTGATGCTGAGGCAGGCTGAGGCTGAGGCTGAGGCTGAGGCTGATGGCTGAGGCTGAGGCAGGCTGAGGCTGAGGCCGAGGCTGAAGGCAGACTGAGGCTGAGGCTGAAGCAGGCTGAGGCTGAGGCTGAGGCAGGCTGAGGCTGAGGCAGGCTGAGGCTGAGGCTGAGGCAGGCTGAGGCTGAGGCTGTGACTGCGACTGCCGTTGCCGCTGCGACTGTCATCGCGAATGCGACTACGACTGCGAGAACAGCAGAATTCGACAACTGGATTTTCATCTGAATCTTAAGGGGAATGCTTTCAGATATGCTTCTACACATCGCTGTTAGGTTGCTTTGCCGGGATAATTAGATATTTTTACGCGCGCCACGCCCCCCAATAAATCCAGACAGCGCGATCCGGACGCAGAAAAAAATAGTTTGGGGCTTTCTCCCCTCGCGCGTTCAGCAACAAGTAACAGCAGGGAGACAGATATCAGGACTGTCACAGTGGAAACTGGAAGCCTGCAACTGGGACGGGGAGCTGCAATCCGCATCCTCGCAGCTTGGTGGCCCCGCATGGGGGCCGGCGGACATCAGCTGCGTGTCGAACAGTACCGTGTTCAGCGTGGCTGGCGACTGGCCGTTCGAACTCATCGTCAAAAGACAGATGGTATTGTTTGGGCAGTTTGCCCACCGTGCGGGCAACGATCCAGTGAGACAGTCTGTTTCTGAACCGGGCAGTATCGCTCTCAAGCAGCAAAAAGGCCCCCAGAAGAGAGGGCGTCCCCGGCAAATGTGGGGAACACTGGTAATGAATAGTTGTTTGGGCATCGCTGGCACCCCCGCCCGTCTCGCTGACGACTTCCGCCCTGAGGGCGGTGCAGCGCGGGCATGGGAACCAGCAGTCCGCACATGGCACCTTTGAGCTATGTGCTGTAGTACATTATCTTGCTTGCGCACCGTCAGGTGTAATGCGAACAGACCTGACCTGGCCTTGCTGATTACGCTTGTGTTGTTCCCCCTGTGCCCTCCTCCTCCCCCCCTCCTCCTCCACCCTTCCCTCTCCTTTTGGTTCCTCATCTCTTCTTCCTCAGTCCCTTGCGTTCCATCTGTTCCCACCTTCCCCCTCTCCCTCCCCGTCTACCTCCTCCTCCTCCTCCTCCTCCTCCTCCTCCTCCTCCTCCTCCTCCTCCATCGCCATTTCATCCCAGTCTTCCTCATCCTCTTCTTCCTCCTGCTCCTGAGATCCGACGTTGCGAAGTCACGTGACGCCGCGAAGCATCACGATCGGAACCCTAGAATCTATCTGCTCCATTTTTCGCGCCGCATCGATTTGCGACGGCCCCATGGCCCGAAACCGGACGAACACGCCCTGTGTTCAAAAACGTGCAACGCCCGGATCTCAGGGTGCCCCTCCCTTTCCTCACTTCCCCCTTCGTTCCTCCCTCCTCCTCCCCCCTCCCCCCCAGGGAACGAAGAGAGGGGAGGGGAGGGGATGGGGGAAGGGGGGGGGGGGCGAAGGAGGGGAAGATGGAGGGGGGAAGGGAAGGAAGGAGGGGAGGGGGGGGCAGAGGTGTGAAGGGATGGGGGGAAGGGGTAGGGGGAGGGGGAGGGGGAGGAGGGGGGAGGGAGGAGGGATGCGCGGCGGGGGGCGTTCTCCCCCCCCCTCCCCCGAAGGCGCTGTACCTCGGCCTCTTCGCCGAGGCCCGGGGCGACCCCGCCGAGGCGCGCAGGCGGCCTGGGGGGCTGCGTCGGCCAGAAAGCGTTCCGCCGCGCGGGGGAGGCGTTGGAGATCGGAGGGAGGAGGACGAGGAGCAGGAGCAGCACAAGGAGCGGGAAAAGGATTCAGGAAGGAATCGGAAAGAGGAGCAGGAGGAGCAGGAGGAGGGAAATGAGAGGAGGAGGAAGAGGAGGAAGAAGAGGAAGATGAGGAGGAGGAGGAGGAAGAGGAGGAGAAGAAGGAGGAGCAGGAGCAAGAGCAGGAGGAAGACGAGGAGGAGGAGGAGGAGGAGGAGGAGGAGGAGGAGGGAGTATGGAGGAGGGGAGGATGAGGAGGGAGGGTGGGGGTCCGTAGCCATTTTGGCAGAAGTCCGGAGCCGTTTTGGCACAGGACCTGACCTCACTGGCAAGGGGGAGCAGCGGCCCCCACAGTGCCCCTCGTTTGCCTGGTCAGACGAGGATTGCCGTGTTTGTGTGAGTTCATGGACGAGCATTTCCCTTTGTTCTCTTGTGTTGGCAGTGCGATGTCGAATGGGGCTGGTTCGAAGGATGTTTTCCTCGGGCCGCGAAAGCCGTTGTGGAGTTGTACGAAGTGCCATCGCAAAGGGAACTGGGCGTCTCGGATCAAGTGTGCATGCGGCTGTGATGCGCCCGTTGAGGTATCGAGAGCAGCCAAGAAAGCACATGATAAGGCAGTCGCAGGTGGCTCGAAGCAGCAGCAGCCGAAAGGTAAATGGTCGCAGGGTGCCCCGCAGTTGCAGGAGGCGCTGGGTTCCATCCTCAAGAGGCTCGACTCGATCGAGAAGGGCGGCAAGGCTACTGAATCTAAGCCTCCTCCGTGGCGCAGTGATTCCGAGGATGGGAAGGAAACCAAGGACATCAAGGAGAGGCTGGGCCACTGGCGAAAAACGGCCCGCTTCGCTACTCATGCGGAAGATCGTACCTTGGCCGAAGCGCAAGTTGAGCGGCTGCAGAAGGCACTACAAGAAGCCAAACCCCTGCACGTCCAGCAAATGTCCGTCAACACTCGCCTTGCCAAGGCGAAGGAAACTGCGGGTACTCTCGAGACTAACCTGGAGGAGAAGCGCCAGGAAGTGGAGAAGGCCAAGGCGGACTTGGACAAGCAGCTTGCAGACGCACAGTTGGCCTTGGATGAGTCCAGGAGGCAAGCGGGAGTTCTCCAGCAAGAAACTCGTGAAGCCTATGCCAAGGGTTTCGCACAGGACGGAGAGCAGATCCTCAAGATAGGGGAGCCCCAGTTCGCCTCAGCCAGCCAAGAGTTCAAGGACTGGTTCAGCAAGCTCCGCGCTGACGAAGCTGGAGGCAAGCGCCTGGAACCCTGCGGCAGATGCTTGAGGCCCAGGCCGTGTTCATCAAGGCGTCCCAGAGCCAGGCTGGGGTCGCTGCGGGCAGTGGCGAGCATGTTCGGGCTGGTGCTGATGATGGCGATATGGAGCTCGGCGAACAAGCCGAGATCGACCTCGCTGCTGCAGGAGAGGCCCTCAATGAGGCCAAACGTGCTGCTGAAGGTGATGCCAGCAATGAAGAAGCAGCACTTCAGATTGCAGCAGCAAGGCGAGTTCTGCGTGAACAGCTTGCCTCAATACGTCAGAAGCGGGTTCGTGTTTAATACTCGAGCCAACGGTGACGGCTGCAATGCTGCGTTCTTCGAATGGTGTAAAAATAATGCACACATGTTGTCTGAATGGTGGTTAATGGCAGGCACAGGTCGTGTTGTGTGTGATGATGCCCTTCCATGCGTTCTTGCTCACCGTGCTGTGGTGGGTCACGATGATGATATTGTGTCCGGCCCAGTCAGTGCGGTACAAAACTGCAACGTAGAGTTCTGGCAGGACAATGTGATTGACGTGGGCTGGCCTGATCCGGGATTTGCGGCGCCCGCGGTGCAGCGCCATAGAGTTGTCCAGGACATCAGGGAGGCCCCAGGAGACGGTTGGAAGAGGTGGTCTACTCCTGCAACTGCAGCGACCTTGTCAGCGGCAGCGGCCACCAGCTCTGGTTCGAGTACGGCTGCTGCGGCGCGGACGACATGTTGCTCTCTCGTTCCCACGTTGCGCTCGACAGGCTGATCGACCAAATTGGTATCAGGACGAGCGTGGTCACGTGGACCACGCACGCGCGCCCTCACTGGGAGAAGGAGGTCGTCTCCCTGGCAGTCAGGAGCTGGAGGTTCCTCAACGTGCTGATGACGTTCCACGGCGTGATGACCAGCCCCCTGATGGAGAGTGCAGCGCTGCGGTTGAGGCACAGCAGCAGGAAGGTGAGCCGCGTGTACAGGCTCCTGGCTCCGCCCCCGCTGCAGCTCCAGATCGTAGGACTCCTAGGGATGGGAAAGCTAACGGAAAGCGGAATGAGTGGGTATTCTTTTCCTGCAATGCGAATATCTGGTCTTCCTGGGAGCTGATCCTGGAGTGGAGGATGGAGGAGGTCCGAGGTCCGAAGCCTCAGTTGTGGGCTGCGCAAGAGACGAGGGCTTCATAGCAAGACTTGACAAATCAAAACTCTGGGTCCCTACGTGCAAGAGGTCTCAATGCCGATTGTTGTCCAGCAGTCTGCACAGGCGCGTCTGTTTTGCCCACTTCGGCGGGCGCATTGGCTGGAGGCCTCTCCCACATCTGCCAGCGCGCGATGCATATGGAGGAGATCAATGCCGTGCCTGAGACGCGGGGCAAGATCATTGCTAGACATGTAGGCGGGGTCTTGGCAGGTGGGATTATCTGGATGTCTGTGTATTTTTTATCACTCGCAGGGGGTCCATGGCGACAACCTACCTTTGATGGCGGCTCTGGGTAAGTATCTCAGTTCTCTGGCTCTTCCTTGGGTGATTGGCTGTGGCACCAATATGAATCCTGGGACGTCTGGGCTTGATGAATGGTGTCATCGGCTTGGGGCTACGGTGATTTCTCCTGGGAGGAAGACCTGTGCTGCGGGATCTGGACAGGAGTACGATTATGTTATTGTTTCTGCTGGTCTGCCATCTTGTGTCAGCTCCATTAAGGTATGGAGTGAGGCACCTTGCTCGCCGCACTCTCCCGTGGAACTTACTCTACGCGGAGTAAGCCTTGCGATGCCAGTTCATGTTAGAGTAAAGTGGAAAGCGTTCCCCGCCAAGCCTCAGACGGGATGCCTTCGTGAGCCTCTACAGTTGCCCTGGGCCTGGAGCACTGGGGACGCGGGGGGCCTGGGCCTGGAGGTGGTTTGGGACCAAAGGGTTCAGAATGTTGAAAGGGAACTTTGCCATATCTTTGACATCGCGGGGGAAGAGATGGAGGAGTACACGGGGAGGACTAATGGTTTCAGGAGGAAGCAGGTTTCCCTGGATACTGTCTTGAAAGGCAAGTGGTTTGCGCACAGTACTCCTCGCCTTCGTGCCCGGCGAGCTCTAGATGCACTTCTTGTTAAGACTGCAGCTTGTGCAGAGGACCTGGAGGGATCTGCTATGTGGCCTTCGTTGCGCGTGTCCATCCTCGGCCTGGGCATGGACAAGTTAGGTGCCAAGTTCCAGCGTCTGGCCCCTGGCCTTCCTGAACTGATTCGCAAGATCGAGGACTCTGGGGGAATCGAGATCGGTTACGCGGGGCCTGCTTGCAAGATGACGCATGAGAAGATGCTCAGAGATCATCCGGCGAAGCGATGGTCGGATTGGAAGGCTTAGGCCCAGGATGCTGCTTCTGCTAAGGCTGGCAAGACCGCGCACGCTTACTCTAAGGTAAAGGCTCCTGCACAGGGGCCGCGTGCTGTTGAGGGATGGGCCCTCCAGGGCGACAATGCGATTGCCGCCCTGCAGGAGGAATTGGGGAAGCATTGGCTCTCTCGCGACTGTCCCCTCTCGCCTGCACAGCATGCTGAAGCAGATGCAGAGCCTCCTCTTGTTAGGCCTGATAGGGAGCTAGTAAAGTGGGCCCTTAGTAAGTTCAAGCACGAGACGGGTCTGGGGGTCGACTGTGTGAATCCTCGAAGTTGGCTTTTACTTATTGTGGAATATGTTGACCGTTTGACTGACCTGCTTATGCTTTGGGTAAGGTGCCACAAGTTGCCCGATCAGTATGCCACCCTCATCGTCTTCCAGGGTAAACCTGACGGTGCTGGATTGCGCCCGCTGGCCCTAATTGTTTCGGTACTCATGGTCTGGGCCAGAGTGCGTCAACAGGTGGTCAGGTCTTGGGAGCGTGCGCGCGCTGCTCAGTTCCTCTGGGGTGAGAGGGGCAAGGAGTTCGACAGGGCGGGGTGGAATCATGCGATGATGTGTGCGTTTGCTCGGATAAAACGTTACCACTCTGGTACCCTGTTTAGCGATTTGGACAAGTTTTACGAGCGCGTTGCCCCGTCTATTCTTTTTGCGGAGGCCAAAGCTACTGGGCTCAGCCTCTGCCTTACGCGCGCTGCTCTTCAGTTGTATGTTGGAGCCCGGGCTCTCACGTTCCAGGGGGCGACCTCGGACATTTTGCATGCGACGGGTGCGATTCTAGCAGGATGCAGTTTGGCTACATATTTTGCGCGAGTGGTTCTGTATAGGCTTCTCTCTGCAGTCACGGCGGCGTACCCCTCCCTCATGATCAGGAATGTGATCGATGATGTATCCATGCAATCCATTGGTACGTTGAGGTTTGTGGAGGAGCAGCTGGGAGGAGCTGGGGCGATGCTTAAGGAGGGGTTCGAAAAAAAAAAAAAAAAAAAAAAAAAAAAAAAAAAAAAAAAAAAAAAAAAAAAAAAAAAAAACTTAAGCTCGTCCTCTCGGGGAAAAAGACCAAGTACATTTCCTCGTGCAAGGAATTAGATGTGGTGCTCCATGGTATGTGGGGTCAGTATGGTTTCAAATCTCAAGTTGCTGTTCGATCGTTGGGGCGCGACGCCGTGGCTAGACGCCTACGGCGAAACCCTACTGCGCGTGCTCGGCTTTTGAAGGCATCGGAGCGGTCCAGAAGATTGTTGAGACTGAAGAATGCAGGTGCTTCTCTGGGCAACATTCAGCGTGCTGGACCCCGAGCGGCAGGGCTCTGGGGATCTGCGGTGGCAGGGCTATGCCCTAAGCAGTTGCACTCCATGAGGCTTGCAGCAGCACGTAGTTTGACCAAAGACAAGTCGGGGGCCCTCATGTCGCTCAGGCTCAGGACGCACCCAGTTGGAGCCCGTATGGACCCATCTGTTTTTTACCATACACATGTATTTTTGTATACAATGGTGTAGGGCGATCTGGGATGGTTCTCCGGGGCTGGATGCTATGCAGTTGGCATTTGAGAAAGCTGTGGACGACCTCTGGCAGGTCAGGAGACCTTGGAATATATGTACCAGCCCAGCACATGTATACTTGCTCGCGCAGCGAGAGCTAGGCTGGACGCCTACTTCAAGACAGGTCTCGACTGCTCAAGGAGAAGTGGTGGACCTGCTGTCTCTATCGCCTGTAATGGTCAGCAGTCTTGCGCAGCGTGATGCAGGACACTGGGCGGACAAACGTGCTCTCCTTCTTAGGCCAACGCTCAACGGGGTCTGGTGTAGGCCTGTCCTTTGGGAGGGGGCTAGAGATCTCCTGAAGGTTGGGAGTAAGCACGCCTGGGGGCAACATCACCAAGCATGTATGAGAAATGCGTTCGCTCTTGGCACCTAGACCCAGGCTCGCCTTAAGGACCACGGGCTGGCCGATGACGACATCTGCCAGTTGTGCCACGCCAGCAAGGGCACTCTTTTTCATAGGAGGTTCGAGTGCGAAGCCTTCGACGGAGATAGACGTCAACATGTATCTGCTGCATGTTCTGCAGCAGCGAGAAGGGCGAAGGAATGGGGCCAGTATCTTGAGAAATATGCTGATGCATCCTCATCCTCGAGAGCTGATCCCTCCTCCTCTCTCCCTGTCCGCGTGTGAAGTGTTGTGGTTCAGCAAGCCGGCCTCTGGTAGGCTCAGCGGTATAATATTCACTGATGGATCTGCGATCAACCCTCAGTGCGAAGATATCCGCAGGGCTGGGTGGAGCTTGGTCCAAACCAATGAATTCGGTGATGTGATTTCTGCGGCCTATGGGCCTGTGCCTCGCGAAGAGGCCCCGTGGCAACAGGCCCGTGATGGTGAGGACTACGCCTACAGAATGGCGTCCGAGCTTGTTGAACCGTTTTTGGACCTTGGGTTGTGTTTGGGACAGGGCCAGCAGTTGCCCTTCCCAGAATCCTCGGGCCCATCTCTGGACCAAGGTTTGGCATGTCTTCGAGAATTGGGTGTCTGCGTTTAAAGTGAAGGGCCATGCGAATGTGGTCGACGTGCTCAACGGCAGATGCACGGAGGCAGAGCGCCTAGGTAATAAGCATGCTGATAGATTTGCCAAGTTAGGAGCTGCGTGCCACCCTCTCCCTGAGCAGCTCCTGGAGATCCGTTCTGCGCTGGTTGCGCACCAGAAGGAGCTGCTTAGATGGGGTGGCATGCAAGATGTCATGATGGCGGACAGAGGTTGGGAGGACTCGTCTGGTTTCCCCGTGCCCGCTGAGGCGAGCGGAAACAAGGGGCACGAGTCCCAGCCTAAGCCATCCAAGTCTTTTTCTGCCAGGCAGTTTGCGCGACTGTGCAAGGAAGGCCATCGGAGGCGGGCGCCTCGCGTCGATGTCAAGGTGCCCTTGCTCTCTGATGCGACCGAAGGTCTTCCAGATGAGGTCTTAAGTGAGACCACCCTCTTGTCCAGGCTGCAGGGCCATAGCCTTTGCAAAGCGAAGGTTTTCGTCGGGGACGGCGGGGGGGCGGCTGGGAGCGGGTGGGTGATCTGCTGCTTGAAGTGTGGTGGCTATGCATGGTCAGGTGTCCTGTCCTTAGCTGGCAAGTGTCAGGGCCAACCGAGGGCGAAGGACCTCAGACGACAAAGATCGAGGTTCTTGCGTGGAGATTTCCCCTTTTGGGCGAAACAATATGCAGGGTGGACTGTTTCTGGACATGGATCCCCGTCCCCCTTGGACTTGCTGGCCCTCCCCAGGGCAGCTCAAAGAGGGATCCAGGCCAGGCGTGCTGATGACAACGATCATGCCGCTGCTGATCCAGGCCTGTGGGAGGAAAGGTGGAGCCCTGCCCAGCTTCTCTCACGTTTTGGCCTGGTCACGCCCGCTCCACAGTCACATGTTACTGGATGAGTGTGTTTGTGTTTGGGGCGGCTGGCACTCGACGGCCGCTTCCATCGAGCGCAGTACAGTACAGGAGGGAGGGTGGGGGTGGAGGAACAGGGGAAGGATGACAGGAGGGAGGGTGGGGAAGAGGAGGAGGGAGGAGGGAGGAGGGAGGAGGGAGGAGGAGGAGGAGGAGGAGGAGGAGGAGGAGGAGGAGGAGAGGAGGAAGGGGGGAGGATGGAACAGGGGGAGGTGGGAGGAGCAGGAGGATGGGGACTAGGAGGAGGAGGAGGAGGAGGAGGAGGAGGAGGAGGAGGAGGAGGAGGAGGAGGAGGAGGAGGAGGAGGAAGAGGAGGAGAACGGGGATGGGGATGGGGATGGGGATAGATAGAAGAGGAGGAGAAGGAGGGATGAATAATCTTGTCGAGCTCCACGCGTCCCCTGGCCTTACTCAAAGACCTGAGCGCTGGTTGAACACATGCAAAGCAATCGGCATGCGTTTGCATTGCTTAGTGCCGTTTGCATATATGTGGGAGAAAGTTGTTTGTTTTGCAGGTTTCGACGCTTATGTCTTCGCCCGGAGCAACTCAGGAAGGATAGCGCGCAGATGTTTGAACAGGGCCAATGTGGTCCCGCAGCCCAGATGTTTGCAGGTGTTCGCACCTCCCCATTCCCCGCCTTCCTCCTCCCCCTTTCCTCCCCCTCCTTTCTATCCCCCTCCCCATCTTTCTCGAGCTCGTATCGGCGAAGGGCTTTACCCGAAGCGGGCATGTGTGCCAGTGAAGTTGCATGCTGTGTTGGTTCGTCGTGGCCTCGAGTGGGCCTTCTTTGCTTTCGCTGCACACCCCTCGAGCTGAGTCAAGTTGTTCCAAGTGAAGTAGTTCCAAGTAGTTTCCCCTCCTCCCCATCCTCCTCGCCTTCCCCAGGGCAGCGGAGGAGGAAGCGGAGGCGGTAGGGGAATGGGCCCCCTTCTCCCTCCTGCTCACGCCCCGCCCCGCAGAGGTGGATCGACAAGGCGGTGGCGACGGGCTACGCCAACGGCGGCGATCGGGGGACGCCAACCGATACACCTATCTAAAGTTCGGAGGATGAATTCGAAGAGAAACGGGGACCTCCAATGGGAAATCGATGTCGGTGTCGTGTTCGTGTCGCGCGTGCGGGCGGGGCGAAGCTGCGTGGGCGGGCGAGAGGAATGAACCCGCCGTGGCTACGGCGAAACTGAGCTCAATGACTCTTCGCCCCTCGGTCGGCCAGCGGTGGCTCTGGGGTGTCCCGCCAGTGTCCCGTGGTGTCCCGTGGTGTCCCGTGGCTCGGTGCCTTGTGGCGCGGTGTCCCGTGGTGTCTTGTGAGGTCGATCGTGAGATCGATAGTGAGATCGATAGACAGTAGATAGCGAGATCGATAGTAATGTCGATTGTGATATTGATAGATAATGAGAGCGGTAGAGCGAGGCATATCGAATGTGAGAACGATAGGTAGGTAGAGAGTGATATCGGTACATATATATATATATATATATATATATATATTGCAGAAGAGGTGCTCCGTTGTGCCCAACTGATTTCCGCCGAATTCGATCCGACCCCACTCGCGCACCGAAAGCTGATTCCCCGCCACAACCTCCAAGTCACCCGAAGGGTGGTCGTACAGGTAGCTATCTAGACCCATCGGCGCCTGAAAGTATATATGTTGGACCCCCAAACCACAATCTATTTTAGAAGCCTCCCTACTTCAATCGTCGAGTGGATCCCCTTTCACCTTCCCCGTTAGAGTGCGGGCGGAAACCCAGTCAGTCTGCTCTCCACGTCTTCCTGCTTCCTGTTTCTGCGCATTTCTTCCGACCGATGGGGTACGCCAACCAGCCAGGCCGATCCTAGGCGCAGGATCGGTGCACAGTCGGCGTCCTCCCAGGCGACTACATGGCGGCCCTGGCGAAGGTGCACCAGCGGCTGCGCAGCGCCCCGAGCCCGGCGTGAGCCGAGCCCGGAGCTCGCTCCGACGTGGGCCCGGCGGGCGCCTCCGCACCTCGAGAAACGGTCTGGCGCCTCCTGCGCGTCTTGGAGGAGTGTCGGGATCCCGCAGGGGGGGGGCGGGGGCGGGCGGGCGGGCGGGCGGGCGGGCGGGCGGGCGGGCGGGCGGCGGGCGCGTGCGTGCGTGCGGCGTGCGTGCGTGCGTGCGTGCGTGCGTGCGTGCGTGCGTGCGTGCGTGCGTGCGTGCGCGTGCGTGCGTGCGTGCGCGTGCGTGCGTGCGTGCGTGCGTGCGTGCGTGTCTGTGTCTGTGTCTGTGTCTGTGTCTGTGTCTGTGTCTGTGTCTGTGTCTGTGTCTGTGTCTGTGTCTGTGTCTGTGTCTGTGTCTGTGTCTGTGTCTGTGTCTGTGTCTGTGTCTGTGTCTGTGTCTGTGTCTGTGTCTGTGTCTGTGTCTGTGTCTGTGTCTGTGTCTGTGTCTGTGTCTGTGTCTGTGTCTGTGTCTGTGTCTGTGTCTGTGTCTGTGTCTGTGTCTGTGTCTGTGTCTGTGTCTGTGTCTGTGTCTGTGTGTGTGAGAGTTCGATCGGATTTGCACAGAACCGCCCACAGCAGATGCCCCCCAAACGCTGGCAGCTCCCGATAGTTGCCGATGGGTGGGGCATGCGGGGGACAACTGTTCGCGGCGGTTCGGTGCACCAGCTGATCGCACTCACGGCCCCCCCCCTCAGGGTCACCCCCTTTTGGTGGATCCCGAGGGTGGTGGTGAGGGGCAGCGGCGGACAGGGGCATGTGCAGCAGTCCGTGTGCTTGTGACTCGTGGGCGGCGCACGGCCCGAGGGCCAGGGCAGCGAGCGCGAGGGCGATTCGGACCGCGGCCCCATCGGAGGGAGGAGGGCCACCCCGCCATGAGCCCAGCGGGGTGACCGAGCGCAAGTGCGACTCCGACCGCGGCCCCATCGGAGGGAGGAGGGCCACCCCGGCATGAGCCCGGCGGGGTGAGGGGGAGGAGGGTCAGCGGCACCGTAACGAGTACTCACTCACTAATGGAAAATTTCCGAAAGTTGCCTCTAACGAGCCTTTTTCTGGCATTGCAGCGCTGCCCACATCGGGGAAAGGACTGGGTTCGCCAGGTCACTGGCCAAAGTACCCGTTAGTGGAGTCCCTGTTGGAGGGGCGCTGAGAGGTTTTCCTCCTCCTCCTCCTCCTCCTCCTCCTCCTCCTCCTCATCCTCCTCCTCCGCCCGTTTACATTTTTGGGGCATTGCTGTGCCTCCTGCCTCTTCTTCGTCTTCCTCCTCCTGGGTCAGCTGCCGCACCGTGGACAAGGCGTCCTCGCGGAGGGTGCGGAGCGTTTTGCCCGGGAAGGAGTGTCTTCGTACGCGCGTTGTGCCCCCTGCCCCCCCCCACCCGCCCTGTCCCTGTCCTGTGCCCGTCGCTCCGCCCTCGGCGCTCGGCCGGCGGGCCGATGCTGGCGCCCGAGGGCGGCGAGGTGGCGCTGAGCCGGCCGGGCAGCGCGCCCGACGTGGAGGGCGCGGGCGGCGCGGGCGGCCCGCGAGAGGCGCGGCACCGCCGCGCCTGGAGGCCGGAGGTCGTGTGTGCGGGCCTGCTGGTCTGCACGCTGCTCTCGGCGGCTGCAACGTTCAGGCGATCGCAAGCATGGATCGAGGGGGCGTGGATCAGCGACGGGTCCCGTTTGCCGTGGGAAGTCGCGGATCTCCGCCGCCGAGCGAGGCGGCTCCGGCCGCAAGTTGGGGAGGGCACTTCCCCGATCCATGTTTACGCGCCCCCGAAACGTGGGGCGCAGGGTTACGTTGCCTCTTCGGGGGACCTGGCCTGCCCCCAAAGTCTGATATTTCTTCTTGTGCCCGACGCGGGCTCGGTGCGGACTCAATGCGGATTTGGCGTGGATTCGACGCGGGCTCGGCAGGGATTCGAAACGGATCCTACGAGTCCGACATGGATTCGACACGGATTCGACGTGGATAGGGCCGCGACGGGACAGACAAGGTCCCCCGAGGATGCAACATAAGACAATGGCTGTGTTTTTTGTTGGGGATCTGGCGACAGCCCGTGTTCTCAGGCCTTCTCGCCCCCCGCTTCCCCCGGGTAACCTGACCTTCTCGGTCGCGCAGGTCCCAAGGAAGGGTGTTTTCCAGGGTCTGGCGGTAGCCCTGGTTGTCAGGCCTTCCTGCCCCCCTCCTGCCTCGGATAGCCTGACCTTGTCGGTTGCGCAGCTCCGAAGGGGGACGCAGTATTCGTGCGCGCGGCATGCGTGGGGCTGCCCAACGCGAAAATATTAAATTGGCCGTCAGCCCCCCCATTCACCCCCACCCCACCGCATATCCCGGGCTACCGCAGAAACATAACACATGTCTCATAGCGTCGAGGTTCGAGGTCGAGGTCGAGGTTCGATGGCGAGGTCGAGGTTCGAGGCTCGAGGTACATGTCGCCAGTTCGAGGTCGAGGTCCTCGAGGTTTTCAACTGTCGGGATTCGAGTGTTTCGGACTTTTTGGACGTTAGCCAGACCATCGGGCAGCGCCGATCTGACTTTTGTCAACTGGCGGTGTCTCCTCGATTCCGGCCCTCGGGGGCCATCTTCGGGTGCCTGGGGCCATCGACGGGCTGGTAGCCCTCGGAGGAGGGGAAGGTACCGATGCTGGTACCCTGCCCTCGTTTCCGCCTCCTTGGGCATTTTGGGGCGGCCCTCGTCACCACGGCTGGATTCGTCTCGAAGTTCTGGTCAGAATGCACCCTGAGAGGGGTGTGGGAGTGGCGGTATCGGGTATGAGTATTCTTTGGTTTCCCCAGGCAGGTGCCGCGGTTCCTCATCGATTTCGGCCGTCGGGGTTGTTTTTGGGTCCCATGGCCGACAGAAACGGACTTGGGGCGCAACACTACCCCCCGGAAAAGGGTCTAGATCTCTGGGGCCGCGGATTGAAATCATCATCCTCCCATGACCGTGCGGGCTCAACGGGTGCGCACGCACGACTCGGGCGCGCGCTTCGCTTCGCATGTCACAGAAGACTCGGGTGCCGATGCCGCTGCCCTTCCCTCGCCGCCACGGCTGGAGTCGCCTCGGCATTTCTGGCCAGAGTGCAGCAGGGGCGGATGGCCCCACGCCGCAGGGTCGAGGTGCTCGGCGGTCGAGGTTCGAGAACTTCGGACGTTTCGGTCGGTCCTCGGCGGCTTTCCGGCCTCGGGCGTGAGCTGCAGCAGGTGCGGCTGGCCGAGGGCGTTTCCCGGGGTGCTTGGATCGAGGGTTGCAGCATGGGCCCTGACGGGGCCTCACGCGGGCCCACGCGGAGCACAAAAGGCGAACGTTCCTTCACCCCCGCCCATGGCCACCAACCAGTAAGCAACGCCCAACCATCCCTGGGCCAGGGCTCGAGCTCAGCAGTGTCTGGGCGAGTTCGTGGATCGTTTTCGAGCGAAGGAAACCGAAACCGAAACGAACCCTCAAGACCCTCCCGGACCTGGGCCGTACAGTCAGCCCGCAAGGGAAGGGCGGGCAACTTTCCGAGGTTGCCCTTGCATCCTTGCCCTTCGGCCCATCCTCGGCTGCTTCCTGGCCGCGCCCCACCCAGAAAGTGCCGGCATGGCCTCCCAAGGCCCCTGCACCCCGATCGCGCATCCCGATGATACGGGCCGACTGCACCCGCCCCCGTTGCAGCCGCCGGTGCTCGCCGTGGCCGCCGGAGTGGTGGTGGCCGACCTCACGGGCGGGGGGCGGGGCGGCGCGCGGCGGCGTGCGAGGGTCGGGGCCGCCGCCATCCTGCCCTCCTCGTGCCGGTCGCCCCTGTTCACCAGCGCGCCGTACGTGGTGCTGCTGCAGGTGGTGGGGGAGCACCGCTCGGACGTGTGGATGCTTCCTTCGGCGAGGACCATCGAGGAGCATCCTGGATCATTTGGCGAAAAAGCCACGCACGAAACTGAAAATAGTGCAGGGAATGGACGTCCGAGCGATGGCCAGTGGTCGGGGGCACCGATTTGGATACTCGCTGAGGGGTGGACCTCCCTCGGTCCGCCCAGAAGTGCGGAACGATTGGGGAAATCGATTTAGGTATGCTCGTTTGGGGGGACCTTTTCCTGGTCGGGGGCAACGATCGAGGAAGCGTAAAACTCGATCCGGTTTGCCAACGCTTCTTGACGAGCGTCGCCCTGGATTTGGCGGTCTAGTCTTCGTGGGATGCTTGCAGCGGGAGATCGAGTCAAATTTCAGACTGGGGCTCGTCATTTTCATGGTGGCCCAATTAGGCCAATCCGAGTCACCCGAATCCGAGTCTTCCCGAAGCGATTTAGATGCTTGTTTTGGGGGGGTCTTCCTTGGGCCCGCCAGAAATCTCTGCCCGCGCTATCCTAGGATTTACCCCTAATAGGGCCCTCTCTCATAGTCGTAGGGATGACAACTCCCCCCCTGCGTACCAACCACAACAAGACAAATGGACATCATGGAGTTTTGCGCTGACGAACTACCATGATGAAGCCAAGGTGTTTCATGACGAAGCAAAGACCGATCATGAAGCCACTACTGTCAAGACGAAGCCAAGATTTGCCATGACGATGATGGCCATGGGGGCCGTCCTTTGGGGCCCTGCGCGACGACGACGACCACGACGGTGCGGGCCCGAATGCAGTCGTCACGATTTGGGGCCGACGACTCCAACGTCGGCGACGACGAACGCTTCCGACGGCGACTCCGAGGACTCCGCCGTAGACTCCGATTCCGACCGACGACATTGACGATACATCCGACGATTCAAACACCGATGGCGACGACGGCTTGGACGGTTGTGAGTCCGTCTCTGGCACGACTCCGACGACGGCTCCGATCACGACTCCAACGACGATTCCGATCCCGCCCACGATGGCGACGTCGCCACTGACGACACAGACCACGCCGGCGAGTCCGACCAGTCCCACGACAACGACGACGACGACGACGGCGATGGCGATTCCGAACCGACGGCGTTTTCATCGGAGGTATCTTCCGAGTCTGATTTGCCGTCGTCGGATGTGCCGTCTTTGGGGTCGGGGTCATATCCTTGGAGTCGTCGTCGCCGTCGTCGGAGTCGGAGTCTTCGGCGGAGTCCTCGGAGTCGCCGTCGGAGTTGCTCGTCGTCGGAGTCGGAGTCGGAGTCGTCGGCGCTAGTGGGAGCGCCTTCATGCTGGCCCATTCCAGCACAATCTTTACGCGGATAGTGTCTCATGCCGAGTTGCGTCTGCGGCCCCAGTGGTGACGTCTGCACGTGGGCCCACGCCGTCGTGGTCGTCGTCGTTGGGGAGGGCCCTTCAAGAGGACGGCCCCATGGTAAATATCGTCATGGTAAATCCTGGCTTCGTCATGAGAAGTCTTGGCCGCCCCATGTTCGATCTTTGCTTCACCGTGATCATTCATGTCTTCATCCTTACAAATTTCGTCATACCGGATATGAATGATCTCCCTCTGGTTTGTTGAGGTTCGGTATGCAAGGGGGTGATTATGAGCCGTACGACTATGGGCGAGGACCCTATGAAGGTTCAAATGTTGGTGCCAGATTCCCACGGGTTGGGTGCGCGCGAGCAGAGATTCTGACGGATCTGCCCGATTTTAGTTCGACTCGAGTTCGAATTGAGTTCGACGCAAGTTCGGCTCGAGTTCGGCCCAGGCTCGACTCAAGTCGACGGGCGCTCGACGCAGCATCGACGCATGAGTGGAGCGGATGGCTCCAGGGAGGTCCCCAGAACGAGAACATACTGCCACAGAGAGGGGGGGACCAGCTCGGGCTTGGAGCCGGCCGGGGGGGCCGAGGCGGCCCAGCACCGGTTCGGGCCAGCAGAGACGGGGGAGAAGGGGCCCCCTCGCCGCCCCAGCTGGACGCGCCTCGACAAACTGGCCAGCCTCGACTTTTGGGAGGGCTCTGCGTTTTCAGCGGAGTCGCCGCTGCTGTTCCCCTCTGAACCGACTGCCTCTGGGCCGATCGAGCTCAGGCCCCCTGGCCACCTCCAAGGCTCAGGGGGGAAGCAAGGTCAAGGGTAAGGTCCCGTACGAGCACGAAGCCTGGTCCGATACCGGACGCGGAGTGAAACAATTACAACTCTCTGCTGCTGATGCATTCATGATTGGGCATGGAGAATAAGGGGGGGACAAGGGAGGGAGGGAGGAACGGAAGGAGGGAGGGGGGGGAGTCAAACTGCAAATCTGTCCCACGTCGTTCGTGGCCTGCCTCTGTAGCGCTTCGGCCTGGTAGGCAGCTTTGCGTCGATAATGCCGCCTGGATTCCAGGCCGCGACTAGACTCAGCAACGTGTTTGGGCTCAGATGATCAAGCGTGGGCAACCAAATCCGTACCCTCGGCCTCGCGGGCCAGGCCCCTGGGCCTCCTGGGCCGCAATCGCGTGGACGCGGGGCGTTTTTTCACGGGTGCCCCACGCAGAACGTATCCATGCGACCGCGTATCCATGTGATCCCGCACGGGAATCCAGACCGCGTGGACGTGGCCTGGATAGGTTCGCCCTCGTGAGAGAACGCATCGACCCCCAGTCGCCCATTCATCGTAGATGGCAGCCCACCTCGCCCAGGTGCCTGCGAACTCGCTCTCAAGCCACCCGGACCGGATAATTGGCGTTTCCTGAACAGCCTTGGGCGTTTATTAAACAGCCCAGTTATTCAATCGCTTCGCTCATTCCGCTGGCCCATATTGTAGCATCGCTGGCACTCGCTTGCGTGCTTGGGGGGGCATTTGGGGGGCCTCCTGGGGCCTCTTGGGGGCCTCTTGGGGGCCTCCTGAGGGGTCTCGTGGGAGCATCTTCGGGCCTCTTGGGGGCCTCTTGGACCTCGTGGGAGCCTTTCGGGGGCCTCATGGGCGCTCCTGGGGGCCTCTCGGGGCCGAGGGCTCGAAATATCCGTGCGGGTCTCCCGTGTGGACCCCCTCTTGGAGCCTTCTTGGGGGCCTCTTGGGCTGTCTTGGAGGCCTCTTGGGTGGTCTTGGGGCTCTCCGGTGCGGTTTTTGGGCCCTCTTGGAGGCCTCTTGGGCCGTGTTGGGGCGATCTTGGGGGCCTCTTGGGCTGCTTTTGAGGTTGTGAAAGCTTAAATGGCGAATCTGCTAAAAATATATGTTTTGCTTAGAGAAATCGGAAGATTTTTGCCTCTTGGGGCCGTCTTGGGACGCCTCTTGGAAGCCTTTTGGGGCGTCTGGGAGCCGTCTTGGGCGTCTTGAAGCGAGCGTGTGGCATCTCGGAGCACTCATGAATCATCTTGGGAGGCTCTTGGCGGCCTCGCGGCCCTTCTTGGGGCTCTCTGGAGGGCCTCGAGGGCGGCGCCCAGGAGGAAAACCGTCTCTTGGTCGGACCGCCCGGGACCTGCCCGGGACCTTGCCGGAGTGCCTTTCGTCTGGGGACCCTCAGGGGCCGCCTCGCGCGCGCGAGCTAGAACATCCCTGGGCGTTTACTAAACAGCCCGGTTATCATGGGGGTTGATTTTCTGCCCTCTATCTCGGGGTCCTGTGTTCCATCTGTCTGCGGTGCACCGCCAGTTCGGGCTCGATGTTCCCCCCCATGCCGACGCGGGCCTCCGGCAGCCGTCCGGGACCATCCGGGCACCCCCGGAACGCTCGCGGCGAGGCGCAGCCGCTGGAAAGCATCCGAAGGCCAGAAAGCCGCCGAGTACCGCGGACAACGCCCGAAAGCCTCGAAAGCCTCGAAGGCCTCGAAGGCCTCAGCCTCCGAAGACCTTGTGCCGTTGCCCCCTCAGGTGGATGGGGAGCCCTACGCCCTGCTCCTGGACACGGGCAGCTCGAACACCATCCTGGCCTCCAGCGCGTGCGCCGAGAGCTGCGACGTGGGGCCCCAGTGGCCCATGCGGACGGCCCCCGGCGATGCCCCCGGCGTCTTCACGATGGTCTATGGCACGGGCAGTGCCGACGCGGTGGTCGCCACGGCGGAGCTGAGCCTCGGGGGGCTGACCGTCCAGCGCGGGACCCTCAGCTCCATCATCAGGCTCAGGGGGTCGAAGGAGAAACCGTGGCCGAACCACACATGCTCGGAGCTCCGCGCGGGTTGCTGGGATCGGCGCTGGGCCCCCTGCGCCGCCCCTGGCGCGCCCCGCGAGCCAGGCAGGGAGGCCGATCCAAGAAATCCGCCCGGAGCTCCGGAAGTTCGGGTTTGCGCAGTTTGGCCGATTCTTCTAGGGGAGGAAGAGACCGATGCCGCTGCTCGTCCTGGAGAGCCTTCGTCGCCACGGCCGGCTTCGCCTCGAAAGCCAGGCCGTGCCCCGGGAGAGGTCCCCAGGAGCGGTGCCTCTCTGCCCCCTCCCCGCAGGCAGCACGCCGGGATAGACGGCGCGACGCTGTTCCCGCCGCCATCGGACTTCCTCTGCTACAAGGCTCGGAGGAGGGCGCCAGCTGGGGCAGCGGCGGCCCTGCCCTGACCCGCCCAAGCTCGCCCACAAGATCGGTCCCCTTGGTTGATCTGGCCATGGCCGGCCTGGCGCTACTACGTCATCGTCTTCGTCCTCGTCCTCATCCTCGTGTTCGTCCTCGTCGTCGTCGTGGTCGTCGTCGTCGTTGTTGGCGGCGGCGGCGTCTCTGGCGTCGGAGTCGGCGTCGGCGTCGGCGTCGCCAGGGTCGATTAGATCCTTGGAGAAATCGCTCCGTAGTGTTCCCATAACGCTCTCAGAGCGTCCTGGACGGGCGTTGTGTAGTGGGGGGCGATAAATGGGGCGGGTGACGAAGTTGAACCTTTCGTGTACCTTAGACGCTCCAAAGGCCCTGGAGAGCGCCTCTGGGGCCCATGAAGGGACACGAAATAGGCCCTGAAGGCACCCCCACTTGGCGCTCTGGAACGGCCGCGGCGCCCGATGAGTTCTTCAGAGCCGCTGGGCCTTAGGGATCCGCGACTCGTCCCGGTCCGGCTTGACGTTCGCCCTCGCTTCGCACTGCGTGGCGACGAGAGGCCTCCAGGAGGCCCACGAAGGGGGCGACCACAACGCCGAGGGATCCGGGCTCGGGCTCGAGCTCGCGCTTGGGCTCGCGCTCGTGCCTGGGCTCTGGCTCGCCGCCGCTGTCTTGGCCCGGGCCTCCTCCGAAGTACGTACGCGGGGCTCCTGGGCCTGGCGTACCGGGGTCAGGACGCGGGGCCAGTGGGCGGGGGCGCGAACGGGACCGCGAACGGCACCTCCGCCACGCTGCTGGACCAGCTCGTGGCCGAGGCGGGGATGCCCAACGCCTTCGCCATCGAGCTGTGCGACAGGTGAGCGGCAGAAGAAGGCGGGGTCGACTATGCGCGGGCATTCGCGCGTGAGTTTGCAGGGTGAGCTTGAAGAGCGAGGCCGAGGGCGAGCGCCCCCTCTCCGAGGCCGCGCGGCATGCCACGCTGGCGGCCCGCGTGAGCCGCGGCGTAAGGTCGCTGTGCCTTCGCGCGCGACACTCGCTATCCTTCTCGCCGCGCAGGTATCCTCAGCCGTGCGGGCCACGGCGGGACACGAGCACCTGGCGACCGTCCCGGCCGTGCGACGTCGGCGTCACCGTGGGGAACCTCTACCTCGGGGGCTACCGCTCTCGAAGAGGAAAAGAGGAGCATAAGCATAAATCTTCGGAGGTCCGCGCGGATTTCTTGGATCGGCGCTGGACCCCGTGGCGGCGCCTCCGGCGCCTCCCTTGGCGTGCTCCGCGCACCGGGGAGGGGCCTTCAGCGCCGATCAAAGTAAACCGCGCGGAGCTCTGAGAGCGTATGTGTATCCAGTTGTTTCGTCTTCTACGCTCTGCGTCACTGGCAGGGGACATGAGGTACACCCCCATCACCGACGAGATCCATTACGACGTCGTGCTCCGCGGCGTCGAGGTGTGCGGCGGCCGCGGCTGCGTAAACGTCACCTTCCCAGACAAGATGAACGGTACGACGGAGGACGCCTGCGTCTGCTCGTCCGACGATTGCCCCGTCCCTCTGGGGCCGCTTGAGTACTGCTTCTTCACAGTTGTGGATTCTGGTGCCGACGGCTTTTTTATGAACACTGTCAGTAACGCCAAGGCGCTGTTGGACGCGATGCTGAACGTCGGCATGGTGGATTTTCCTTTAGAGGAGAACAGCACCGCGGCTCAGCGGTCTTTTTACTTCAACCGCAGCGCCATCCCCGGTGCCTCCCCGTCTGCGCGGGGCCGATTCACCCTGCATTTTCCCGACGAGCAGGGCGAGCTCTTCTCGGGGAACAAACAATAACATTAAACAATTGTTCGGAGGTCCGCGCTGACTTCTCAGCGATGGGCCCCCCTCCCTGGCTCGCGAGACGCCCCGGGGGCGGCGTCGGAGGCGCCGCCACGGGTCTTCAGAGCTGATCCGAGAAATCCGCGCGGACCTCCGAAAGTTGTATGTTTGGCTGCGACTCTGTGGGGGGACGTGAGAAGGGGCGGGCCTTCTCGGAAGGCGCCGAAGTCCCCTGTCCTTCTGAGGAGTGTTCCAAGCCTCCCGAGCGCTTCTGAGAAGTCCCGCCGCCCTCTGAGAAGGCCTTCTCCCTCTCATTTCCCTCCCTCGCTCGCCGCCAGCATGTGCATGTCACCATTTTGTTCCCCGACCTTCGGCGTCCACATCCCCATGGACGTCCTGTTCCGCCAGACGGCCGCCGGACTCCTGCAGCCGACCGTCCAGGGGGACGTGGCCGCGTTCCAGGCAGCGAAGTTCCCCGTGCTGCTCGGCGCCCCCCTGCTGGTCGGCCGCGTGACCTTCTTCGACCGCTCCCGCCGCCTCCTCTCGGGGGCTGCGGGAGGTGCCCGTGGCCCAGGTCGAAAACGGTGAGCGCCGCCAGCGGAGCGACGCCAAATAAAGGGGTCGTCTTCACCGATGTTGGTGCTTACAGTGGGGGCCCATGGGTTCCCTGCTTGCCTCCAGGGTGCCGTGGGTTTCTTGGGCTTCGATGGTTTTGCCATGGAAAGCGTGACTTTCCCACACCCAAAGTCAATGGCCGTCTTGGGGTCTCAGGGTTGGGTTTCTTGTGGAAGGCTTCTTGTGGACGGGCCTCCACTGTAAGCTGCCCGCGAAAGGTCGCGCGTAAGCGCCCTCGTCTCCAATGAGGCGGGCCGTGCCGGCGGCCCGCGTAAGCCACCGCGTAAGGTCGCTGTGGCATCTCGCCTTGTTTTTGAACGTCGCTCAGTTGCTCAGAATCGGCCAACATGGAGCGATATGGCCATCGACAAGCCGCCGACCATTCAAGGTTGAAGGATCCATCGGTGCAAGAAGCCAATGCCGAAGTCGTCAACCCACGAACCTGTCGCAACATAAAACTACACCAACCTGATAACTTCTGAAGCTCCGCGCGGATGTCTTGCCCCTGGCGAGCTCCGCGCGCCAGGCGCGCCAGGGATAGGGGTCCAGCGCCGATCCAATATTCGATATCCGATATTTGTGCCGTTTTTGTGTTTCTGTACTCTGGGTGTCCCCAGCGTCCCGCCACCTGTCCAGCTCCTGGAGCCCTCTGGCCTGGTGCTGCGCTGCAGGCCGCGGGAAGCGCCCCGGAAACCTCGGCGACGCACGTCGTCGACGGCACCGTAACGGGTACTTACTAACGGGTACTTTGAAATTGTGCCGAAAGTTGCCACTTTAGGGCCTTTCTCTTGCATTGCAGCGTTGCCCACATCGGGAAGGGTTGGGCTCGCTGGGTCACTGGCCAAAGTACCCGTTAGTGGAGTCCCCGTTTGAGGGGTGCTGACGTCGGGCCAGGGGCACCCCTGGCAGCGCCCGATCCTCGGCATCGCGGACGTGAGGCCAGAGGCGTGCGGCGCCCCCGTGGAGCACCCCTCCGAGATAGACGTGCGGGGCCTGCACGTCGACACGCCCGGGGCGGGGTGCCGGCGCGGCACCGGCAGCGGGGGGGGCTGCAAGCAGGCCTCGCCGCGGGGGGAATCAGGAGGGAAAAAAACACACAGACACAATTAATCCTCGATCCCCAGGAAAATATGGGAAAATATGGGAATTGGGGGGGAAGACAGAAACCCAGAAAATATGGGAAAATATGGGGATTATTTTTATTTGTGTGTATTTATTTGTGTGTCCTAATTTCCCTTTAGGGAAGCGGGTCCAGAGGGGAACGGGCTCTGAGTTTGTGTTCTCCCGCTTCGGGGCCCTCCACGGGCCCTCCACGGGCCCTCCACGGGCCCCGGGGCTGTCAGAGAGCGCCTCGGGATGCAGGACTGGTCCTGGGGGGAGGCGCCGGGGTCCAGGACCCGTTTCTGTCATGCTACAGGCCAAGCGTCCCGGTGCTCTGACCGCTGACGAGGGCCGCGTCTTTTGAGTTCTTCGTGCGCTGATCGGCAGAAAGGCGTCGCAAGCAGGGATGCTCGGAGCTCCGCGCAGAGTTCTTGGATCGGCGCTGGGCCCCCCTGGCGGCCCCTCTGGCGCCGCCCCTGGCGCGCTCCGAGCGCATGAGAGGAGGGGGGGGGGGGCCAGCGCAAGTCCAAGGAAAACGCGCGGACCTCCGACAGTGTATGTACGTTCATGTTGTTTTTGTCTCCCTCTAGATCAGGTGTTGCTCATCATGCCCCTGGCCCAAGGTGCCCCAGCTTTCCCTTCAATTTTGGAGCCCCTAGTTCCCTCTGGGCATCGTGAGGGTGCTCTGAAGGCCGTGGGGGCCTCCTTGAAGATCCTGGGAGCACCTTGGGCGTGGGGCACTTCTGGCCACACCCGACTGGAATCGCTTCGGGGGGCGCAGAGAGGCGGCACGAGGTCACGTTTTAAGGGCCCCGTTTGGCTGCTGGTGGCCCTCGGCTTGCTCGGGGGCCGTCGCTGGGCGCGGCCGTCGCCCGCTCCACTTGGAACGGGCTCCCGCGTGCCGTGCCCGAGCTTCTAGCGCGGTCCCTACGAAATTCTTCAGTCGAGCTGCTTCAATCATCGGCGGCGAGCCCGTGGGGGAAGTGAGAGTCAGAGGAGGAAAAGGTACCCATACCGCTACCCTTCCCTCGTATTCCGTTATTTGGGCCTCCTGGGCGGCACTCGTCGCCACCGCTGGATGCGCCTCGAAATTTTGGTCAGAACGCAGCACAGGAGAGGTCCGGGGAGTGCCGGTTTCGGTACCTTTTGGTTTCCCCAGAGAAGCGGCGGACCTTCCCAGAAGGCTCGGAAGTCCCCCGGTCTTCTGAGAAGTTCTCTGAGCCTTCCCCAGGGACACAAGAGACCTCTCCGAAGGCCAGGGGCCTTCTGAGAAGCGTGCCCCGCCTTCTGAGCAGGCCTTCTCCTTCCCCCTCCCTCCCTCCCTTGCCGCCGGAATCAGTTCCCCGAGACATGGAAAGACTGACGGGGTGACGAGGGCGGGCTGCGGCGTGGAGGGTCCTCCGGAGGCCCTGGCAGGACGTCCCAGCCGGCCCCCCTCGACGACCCAAGGTGGACTCGGAGAGGGCCCCCAAGAGGTCACCGTTCGTTTTCACTCTCTTTTTTTCGTGCGCGGTGTTGGCACTTTCGCCCTCTCTGTCCCCAGAGCCTCCAAGATGACGCACGAGGCCCTCAAGCTCGCCCCAAGGTAGCCCCAAAAAAACCGACCAGGAGGCCCAAGAGGGGCTCAAGAGAGCCACATTGCGATTGACGAGGACAGCATAAGAGGGCACCCAGGAGACCCTAGAGGGCCCCCAAATGGGGCTCCAGTCAGTCGACGAGTGCCGCCGAACAGTTATTTTTTAAGTCAGTTGGCGCAGGCGAGCTGAAGCAGGTGCAGGCGACGGTCGAGCAACGGAGATGGCCGCCGAACAGTAATTCTGTACAGGAGTCCTTCAGACCGAGACCGCGAAAAGACAACCGCAAAAGACCCCGAACATGGCTCAGAGAGGCCCGTGACGGCTCAACGGGGTCCCAAGGCCCAGCGGGGTTCTCAGACGGCCTCACACCGGCCTGACGAGAGCCCCAGGACGAGCCATCTCGCAACAATGGATTTCCACGGCGACCTCCCACGAGTTGTTGTTTTGGTAAGTCCATGTATGTATGCATCTACGCATGTCACATGTATGCATACATAAATTCATACATGCATACACATACATACATAAATACATACATACATACATACATACATGCATACACACATACACACATACACACATACACACATACACACATACATACACATATACACACATACACATACACACATGCATATGCACATACACATACACATACACATACACACATACATATACATATACATACATACATACACACATACATACAGACATACATGCATGCATACATACATGCATACACGTACATACATACGTACGTACATACATGCATGCATACAAACATACGTGCATGCATACAGGCATACATACCTACATGCATACATACATACGTGCATGCATGCATGCGTACATATACGCATACATACATACATCCATACATACACACATACCTGCGTACACACATACATACATTCACACATCCAGGCACACGTACATACATCCGTACACACATACATGCATACAACCATACATACACAAACACGTACACGCATACATACATACATGCATACATACGTACGTACGTACGTACATGCATGCATACATACATGCATCCATACATACATGCATACATGCATGCATACATGTATACATACATACATACATACATGTATACACACATATATATATATACATACATACGTACACACATGCATACTTGCACACCTACATACGTACATACATTCGTACACGCATACGTACATACATACATGCATACATGCATGCATGCATGCATACACACATACATATACACATACATACATATATACGTACGTACGTACGTACATACATG